GGTTTCCTTGTTTTTTCTGTCTTCCCATCATTGCCCTTGGTGTTGTTATTGTCCCTGTACTGTGTGCAATTAAGTATTTTCTAGCTTGTAATAATACCAATGGTGATATTTAGAATGGAAGGGTGAGAGGAGATGGAAAGCAAAGAAGTTAAAGAAAAAGGGAAAAACAAGTAAACAAGTAGGAAAAAAACAAAAACAAACAACAAAAAAGTTTCAAAGATATAAACAGGGAGAGATAGCATACTAATCAACAGTAAGCTGAACAGGCATTAGAGAGACAGAGAGAGGATTGAAAATAAAAAATAAAATAAATAAGTAAATAAATGAAAAAAAATCTCCAAGTTCAAATGCAATAAAGTTTCAGTCTTAATAATTTTGTTGTTCGTCTCTCAGCCTCCAATCCTGGAGATGGTGTCTCAGAAGTAGTTCTGTCGTTGTCTCATCAAAGGGGAAAAAACTAAAAAAAAAAATAAAACAACACAAAACAAAAAAAACACCACAAAGTGTCCCACGTTCAAATGCAATACAGTTTCAGTAAGTTTTTCAGCATGCAGGTGTACTTCGGTTGTTGTCTCATCAAAGGTTGGGAGAAAAAAAAAGAATCTGGAGACAATTCTGTGAATGGTTATCTGAGGCTGTGGCCTTCCTGCCGACTGCTGTCAGCCTGCTGTTGCTGGAGGCTTTATTTATGCAGATCTCAGGAGTGAGCTTAACACTCACCTTAGTCCCTCAGGCTTTGTTTACTTAGAGTTCTCCTGGGCCCTACAGCCACTGCTACAAGGTTTCCCCTTTCCAAGCACACTGGGGGAGGTGACACTGCACCAGCTTTCTCAGGCTTGTGTATTTATTTATAGTTCACATGGAAAGTGGGTCTTCCCCCCTCCTGTGGAGTTTTCCTCCCACCGCCACTTTTACAAGCTTTCCCGCTCCTGATTGTTGGGCATGTGCCACCGCTCCTGCCTTCTCCAGCCAGCTTGTTGTGAGGGAGCTCCCCTTCTTTTTTTTTTTTTTTTTTGAGGGGGGTGTTTACTTAGGGCCTCACGCTTGCTGGGCAGGCACTCTACCACTTGAGCCACTCTGCCAGCTCTCTTTTGAGCTGGGTATTTTTCGAGATAGGGTCTTGTGAACTGTTAGCCTGGGCTGGCTTTGAACCATGATCCTCTTAATCACTGCCTTCTGAGTAGTTTAGAATTACAGGCATGAGCCACTGGTGCCTGGATGTTTTTTTTTTCTGTTTTTTCTCCTCTTTTCTGCATTGGCAAGGCTCAGTTATGTTGGGGCCAGTCCTGCGATCCCACCCTGGAGCTTGACAGCTAGGTACATCCTTCCATCTACTGTAAGTTCAAGAGTACTTGGTTCTAGACACAGAGACAGCTTTAACCTTCCATTCAGGGACACAACTAGCCTCTTAGACAGCCATGGCCTGCCACTCAGTATGGAACCAGTCTTTCAGAGAGCCACAGCCAGTCACTCAAGAAGGCCACTCTGTACCTGTAGGTGGCCAAGAAGGCCAATTCTGCTTATATGGAGCAGGTTGCAAAAAGGCAGGGCTCTGTGCTTGCAGTGGTGCTGCTGGAAGGTGGACGTCATCCCCTGCATGGTGAACTTCAAAAGAGTGAGGCTGTGTCAGGAGGCGCTTAAACTCACCCATGTTGGGGTCCGAAGACAACTTGGGTACGGTGGTTCCTTACATAGACCCCAGAACTAAGCATGTGGCTGTCCTAGCTGCGGTTTACAGCAACAGGACACAGAACAGTCACCTATGGGAAAGGTGTAGCGAGGTTCTGGGGAGGCCAGGCAGGGTTCAAGAATCTTTTTCCTAGGAGTCACACAGAATGTGCTTTGTCCTTAACAAAGAATTGTGACGTGTGGAATGCTGCCACCAGGAGCTCACAGAGACTTTGTGCCTGGGGTCTTGGGGGGAACATGTGGCCCTTCTGTCTGGCACGTGCCAACATCTAGACTCTGGAAGAAAGCAAGGGCTGAATGTAGACTGTATTACCTGTACCAGTAGTTTAGATGCAGAAGCCTCTTCTGCCAGGGAGGATGGGACCCCCCCCACCCCCACCCCAGGCTAGATCTCCAAATGTATGGAGGGCCAGCGTGGTAGCCATCTCAGCTTGTGGCCTCAGGTTTGCAAGCAGCTCTGTGCTGCTTTGCACTGTCTAGGACTTTGGACTTCAGGCACCTCCCTGCACCTGACTGGCAAGATTGCCAGAGTGAGGGAGACTCAAAAGGTTGCTCACATATGGAGAGGAGACTCCAATCCCAGGTTTGGGACCTCAGTGTGAACCAGTCAGGATGGCTGCCTTCCCTCCTCCACATCACATTATGTTTGGTATGCCGATAGCTTCTCTGTGCTCATAGCAAGACCTAGGGCGTCCTGGCCAGGGTGGATGGTCTTCTCAGAGCCCACAGCAGCGTGTCCACAGGACCTTTTCTGCTCAGGGCCTTCCTGGCCTGAGAAAGACATCTAGGCCTGTGGGCTCTTTGGGAATAGGGGTGACCTGGTTACATTGTAACACATAGGGAGTCTGATATGGGTCTCTGCTGAGGCTCAGCTGGCACTGGTACCCATAAATCCACTTCCTGCTCTGGATTTGCCTATTTTGGATGTTTCCTATCTATGAAGCCATATGCTATGGGGCCTTTGTGTCTCCTTCTCTCATTGAGCATTAATTATGTCTACAAGGTCCCTTCACATTGTTGATTCACGTGGATTAGTGAATCTGATCTATGTGTATCAGCCTTTCCGTGGCTGAGTGACGGATGTCCCAGCATGCAGAGACCAGCCTTCAAAAGTGGAGGGAAGATGCTTATTGTGTAGCCCTGACTGCAGGGACTCCCCAGGGATCTGGGCCATGGGCACTCAGGGACAGTTGTGCAGCAAATGGGCACTGCACTGCCCCTGCTGCATGGAGGCAGTCTTGGCATCTCTATGCTGTCACTGTGGGCAGTGGTGGAGAGAAGACAGTCGACTCTGTGGCTTCTCAGACACATGGGCATGTCTCACACCTGGGCTTGGTCTGCACACAACCTGTACCATCCTGTTTTCCTGAGAAGACAGGTTATAACACAGAGGAAATGACCTGACCAAGGGCTTTATAGGCCACATCTCCGAGTACCATGCTGGTGACCTCTGTCCCGGGGGTGATGGGGCTCTGTGGTAGAGCTTTTGCAAAAAAAAAAAGTACATGGTCGTAGTATAATGGCTTTCAAGTACGTTTTTCAGTGTGGTCATAGTACTTCCCACTGAACTTGCTCTGTCTTCCTTCCTTCTGTCTTTCTTGGGGTAGACACTGACTCCAAGCCATGTGCACAGGTTCTGCTTCCTGGTGTCTTGCCTAGTCTTCACTCGTTGCTCCAATTGGCCCACTAACTTGCAGTTGTTGGCTGGCCAAGTCTCGATATTCTCCCGAGTTCTTCCCACCTCAGCAACTCTGGTCATTTCATATTTCCTTCACAGCAGTTGGGCGGCAATAGGGTTGCAGAGCCTGATTGAGACGTGAGGGAGTAAATGTGTTCTGTGTTCATGTTCTCTTCCTCAGCTGGAACGAGGTGATTTCCTCTCAGAAGAGTGGAGAGAACGGATTGCCAACACGAGGTACGGCTGGGCCTGGGCTGTGGTGCTGATGACAAGGGGGCATTTCAAGAGTCCTTGAGGACCAAGGCAGCTCATCTTGTGCTAGCTGTCCAGGTCTTGGTGACTGTCACTCTTTGCATGGGGACTGCTACCTCTCTGATATTGATCAGCTCTTTTTCCCAGCTTTCCTACACTAGTCCCCAAATGGGGTGGACTGGCCCTGGAACCCTGGCCCCATGTGCAAGTACCCTGTGAGCTTGTCCTTGGCTGTCCTTGTTGGGTTCTTGTCAGATGGTACTTGTGGTACTTTATTGCTGAGCCTTAAACTTCACCACCTGTATGTTTTCTGTTCAGGGAATTGTGTCCACCTATAACAATCACTCCCTGTGGTCTTTGCAGTGGGCTGCCCTGCTCAAAGCCCTTCAGCTTCCTCTTGTACTTGTCTGGTCCTTTCTGACTGATCCCCTTACCTGCCATGAGTTGCCAGTGAATGTTTTTAGATGTCTTGATTTTAAAACTATCAAGACTCACAAAGGGCCCACTTCTGTGAAAACCAGCTCACGGTTTTCTGGCATATTCCAAAGGGGAGATACTGACTTCTGCCTGTGTTTCTCCCCTCCCCCACCATGGAGTTCTACTGCTTTTACTCCTCTGCATTCTTGGTGGGTGGGCAGCATGTGGACAGCACCTGGTGGTGGCTGCTGTCCATGCTGGGACTCTACAGGCGCATGGTTTTACTCAACTGGAACATTGTTTTGCAGTGTTATATTTGTGAATAACTTTGCCTTTGGTCCTGAGGTGGATCACCAGCTGAAGGAGCGATTTGCAAACATGAAGGAAGGTAACGCACCCCTTTCCACTCTGGGCTTTGTCACAGGCCTCAGAAGTGCCAGAGGCCCGTTTTAGGCTGTGACCAAGGTCCCTGATAAAGCTGCTCATGTTATGTTCGAAAGCCGAGCCCAGTTCCTTTCAACAGTGTAGTGCAAACCTGCTGCCTGTAGTTCCAGGCCTCAGTGCCTGAACTGATACCTATGGCTACCCACCCCTCCCTGCCCCCCCCACAAGCATCCAGGTGGCACTTCTGTGGGGCTCCACTTCAGTCATCCTTGTTCTCTAGGGAACACATGGACAGATTAGGGTCTTCCTTAGTGGGATTGTGACACTTTCCCAGACCCCCAGTATGATGGGCAGCATCACAGAAGCCCCCAGCTTGCCTGACTTGCAGGATGCAGCTGTGATATTACTAATGTGAGGGTGATGCTCAGTGTCTGCTGCTGTCCACCTGTAGCTCCTGGGGACTTGACTGTGAGGTGTGGGACAGAGCTAGTCAAAAGCATCTGTGTTTCCAAATGAGGCAATGGGAGCACACAAGAGTGGGAGTACCGCCCTTCTGAGGTTCTAGTGAAGGCTTGCAGCAACGCCATTGAGTTCTAAGGCTGATCTGAATGGCTTGTATGCCACTTGCTGCTGACCTCAGTTCTAAGATGGCTCCATCTGCTTGCTGTTGCCTCAGCGTTAGGGAGGCCCCAAGCCAGGCTTCTGTCCACATTATTGTCAAAATGTCAGGCAGACAGAATAGGTGGAAGGCTGACCTAGTGTAAAAACAGAATCTCCAGCTGCTGGTCACAGGTGGTGTTTGAAACATGAGCTCAGGGTATGGGTGTCTGTGTGTGTGTACATGGATGCACTAGATCCGGTGTGTGTGTGCTGCGAGTGTGATGGTGTGATGGAGAGTTGTTCCTTTACACCTTTAGGTGCTGTAGATACTACAGTGTGCTCCTGTGTGGCCCTCAAGTACATCCTGAAGATCAGGTTTGCCTCTGTTGGATGCTGCTCTCACCTTTTAGAGAGGGTTATATATAGTATATTTTCTAGTTGTCTTATGGTTGTTTTTCCTAACTTTCCAGCTGTCATTTGAGTGGCTTTTGGGTGGTAGCTGCCATGGTGACTTTTTGTCTCATATCTCCTCAGTGCTGGGGTTGGAACCCAGAGCCTCCCACATGTTAGGCAAGCCTCTACCACTGAGCCACACTGTAGCCCACCTCCATCTTATTTTAATTGTGTCTGAGAGTTGGGCCCCAGAGCCTTCAGGGTTATCCAGCATCTTAGATTGTCTCTTCATGTTGCTTTAACCTGTTGTTCTATCTTCACCTTGTTTCTTAGAGGCCAGGCTCAAGTGACGTGGTAAGGCAGGACAGCCAGAGCCCTCTGTGGTAATAGGTTCTCTGCCACCTGGCCTGGTAGTGCTCTCAGAGCCTTCACTCACCTTGGCAGACCCACTAGGGTCTGTGAGCACACAGAGTAGTGCAGAAGGGTATTCACTGGTGACTGTGGCTGCCTTACACCCATGGGTGTTGTGTGGAGAATGGCATCCTGCCCATACCCCTTCCTAAGTATACCTTCTACTTGTAGACTTCTACATGCTTAGTGTACTCAGCTGTTCCTGTCCCAGCTCTTTGGGAAGTTCAGACAATGCTAGATGTGCCCTTTTGCCTGCCAGGCTCACTGCATGACTTCTTACTGTCACCTGTTTGTCTTTGAGGATTGCTCCTTTCCTGGCACACCAGGGACTCAAACTGATCTTGTGCTGGACCAGCATAGTAGTGCTCCTGCTGGGGGATAGGACTTAGAAAGCAAAGCCAGGCTGGCTTTGAGGGGGTGAGAGCCCAGGTATGCATGTAAATGTGGATATGAGTATAAGCAGTTGTGTGTGGATATGTGCATTTGAATGAACTCAGTTTGAATTTTTTTTCACTTATTCATAGGTGCATACATTGTTTGAGCCATTTCTCCCCCCGTCCCCTGCCCCCTGCCCCCTTCTTCTTTCCCCCCACCCCCCTTGCTTCCAGGCAGAACCTGTTCTGCCCCCTTTTCCAATTTTGTTGAAGAGAAGACATAAACAATAATAAGAAAAACATAGCGTTTTTGCTAGTTTGAGATAAGGATAGTTATGCAGAGAGATTCCTAGCATTGCTTCTATGCACATGTGTATTACTACCCAAATTGATTCAACTCTACCAGACCTCTTCACTACTTCCCAGTCACCCTCCCATTGTGACCTCTGTCGTTTTAAGGTTACTGTATTAGCTCCTCTGCAGTGGGCATGTCAAACACTTTCAAGTTCAGTTTGAATTTTTTAATTCATATGTCACTATTTTCATCTTCTCTGATTTTATTTGGTTTTCTTTTTTTCTTAAAGGTAAAAAATTATGTTCACAAAAGCATTTGTGCGCTTACCTACAATGTTTTCACCACAGCATGCATAACTTCATAATCACAGTAAATCTAGTAAGCTTCAGGGTTTCTCTGTAATTCTTTTTACCCTTAGAATTTATCACAGTAACAGTGTGGAGTAATAATATATAGTCAGTTTAAGAGTTACTGGAGCCAACCAAAGTGGCTCATAAATGTAATCCCACCTACTCAAGAAGTGGAGATTGGGGAGATTAAGGTTCAAAGCCAGCTTGGACAAAAAATTAGTGAGACTCCCATCTCAGTTAGCAAGCTGACCATGGTGGTGCACCCCTGTCATCATAGCTACTCGGAAGGCATAGGCAAGAGGATTGCTATCTGAGGCTAACCCTAGGCAAAAAACAAAGACCCTATCTGGAAAATAACTAAAGCAAAAAAAGAGTTACTGGAAAGAATTAGTTTTTTTGTATGACTGTTGCTAGTTTGAATTTGCAGTTAGGTTTTATTTGTGTGTGTATATGTGTCTATATGTACTTGCAGTTAGATTTTATTTGTGTGGTTTGGGGGGAGGTTGCTGTTTTTACCCCTTGACAAGTTTTTGGTTATTTGGTGGGACTGGGGTTTGAACCCTCCATCCCTGTTTTTACCCCTTGGATCTTAGTTCTTTAACACGTGAAAATGTTCACATAGTGTATGGGGAGGGTGCCCTAGTTTATCCCCTGCTGACCACATCCCCAGCCCCAAGGCCGATGCTTTTCCCCATGTAACAATGAATCCTGGGAACCATGGTGATTGCAGCAGTCTTGTTCCCTTTTGGCCATGTCTTCCTCCACCCTGTGGTGGTCCTGGGTCCCTCTGTGTCTGCTTTCACTGGTGTCCAGGGTGTCAACTATGGTACAGGGTCATGTTACTGCTGTCCATGGAGGTTGCTCTGAAAAGGTCTTTCTTCTGCCCAGAGTTATAGGGTCAGAGGGCAGTGTCAGTGGGATTTAATGAATACTGGAGAGAGTGTTGTACAGCCATCTTGTAAGAAGGACTTAACCTTGGCAGGCATTGCATGGTTTTCTTTACTTGTAAGAAAATGGACAGGCCTCTGTTTTTATTGCTCAGAGTGCTTACTTCTTCTATAGGTTTCCCCTGTACTTTTCAAGCTTCACATTTTTTCAGGTGTGCTTATGTACATGGATTTATTTTCCCCACTAATGGCAGTAATGAGTTTTCATATTTCAGGTGGCAGAATCGTGTCCTCAAAACCCTTTGCACCTCTGAACTTCAGAATAAACAGCAGAAACTTGAGTGGTAAGAAATTCTTGTGTCATTCCGTTTATTGATGGGGTAATTTTAAGCTGCTAATGTGTATCAGAACAGGGGCTCCTCTTGGCACTATGGGCAGTGAGCCAGTTCTTTGTGGTGGCTTCCTGGACACTACAGGGTTGTAGAGCTGTACTTTTTCCTCCACCAGCTCTATGCTAGGAGCACCCCAGTTGTGACAGCCACAGATACTAGATATCATCCAGGCAGAATCACCCCAGATGAGACCTGAAGCTTCAAGAGGAGGTGATAGAGAATCACTGTTGGGATGGACTGACTGCCTTAGGGTCTCCTGTGGGCTACTTGCTCAGGGCTCTGTGCTGGGTGCTCAGTTTGGCTCAGCTTAGGAGGTACATGTTTCATTAGGTGCTGTCTGTTTTCAGAGCCATCATTTAAGTTGTTTCCAAGTTGTTCTACAGGACCCTGTGATCCTACTTAGTTGGGTTCACTGTCTTGTTCTTGACAGACCCAAGGTGACCAGGGATATAGGTCAGGTGCACTTCCTGCAGCTGCCCCCAGTCTCCCTACTCTGGCAGTTGGGTCAGGCTTGGAGACCTTGTTGGCCACACTCATTGTGGTGGATAGAGACAAGTTGGACGAAGACAGCTGTCACTCAGAGTTCTGCCCCCTCCGCAGCTGCAGGGCCTTTGAAATGAAATGCACATGCGCTTCCTGTAGGGTTGGTCCACATGCAACCCTGACCTGTCACTCCTCCCTTGCAGATATTGGCACCATTATGCGTGTGGTGGAGCTGTCACCCCTGAAAGGCTCCGTATCATGGACAGGAAAGCCAGTCTCCTACTACTTGCACACCATTGACCGTACCATAGTGAGTATGGAGTGCTGTGCCATCCCACCTTTTCCCACCTGCCTTTCCCCTACAGCTGCTGTTGTGATTCTCCCTCAGAACAGCCCTTCCTTCAAGTGCCCCCTTGCCAGTCCTCAGAAGGACTGGGAGCATGTCACAGGCTGGTGAGCGGTGGGGGGAGTGGTTAGGGAGGTGGGTGGCATTTATGGTTCTCATGCCCCTGTGCAGGCACATATATATGTATTTGTGTGTGTGTGTTATTGCAGCTTGAACTCAGGGCCTGCATCTTGAGCCATTCCACCAGTCCTTTTTTTGTGATGGGTTTTTTCGAGATAGGGTCTCAAACTATTTGCCTGGGCTGGCTTCAAACAGTGATCTTCCTGATCTGTGCCTCCTGAGTAGCTAGGATTACAGGAGTGAGCCACTGGCACCAGGCTGGCACATAGTTTCTTGAATAAGAAGGGATGATGATAAGTTTGGCTTTGTTATCCAGAGGCCTCCAGTGTCTGAGGAGGCCCATTCTTTGCCTTCGCCACCCCTTCCCAACTTATTCTGCCAGAATCTGGGGCTACCAGGTGGGGCTTTCCATACTGAAGCACCTCAGGCTAGGATGTGACCTGCCTACCTCCTTCCCCCTAGTGTTTTACTCTCCCTCCCTGCCTTGGACCTTCCCATATGTGGGCATTTGGCCCTGTTTTTTGCCTGTGCTGGTCAGCTCTGGGCTAGTAGGAGTAGGATGCACCAGCAGTTCTACTTGTGTATCCAAGTCATTTCCATCTGGTAGTCATCTGTATCTAGTTAGAGACTCAGTTTGGATCCTTCTGGGGGAGCATTGTAAATTGGCCTCAACTACCACAGGCAGATGTGCCCCTGCCCCTCCTGCAGGTGACAAAAGGAAGTCTGTCACCTCAGCTGCTCGCAGCATTGTGGACATGTGGGCTACTTTTTGGATCAGCCCCTGAACTAGAAACCCACGGTGAGCCCGTTTTTCCCAGAGGGAAAGTGCTCAATGGTAATAGAAGAGGCAGAACAGTACCTGGCCACAACTGGACTCTGCTTAGAGTTACGTCCCACTCGGGATTGCACTCTCAGGACCTGGTGGTGAGATCGTGTCCCTTTGTGGGTCCAGCCTCTGCTTACATGCTAAGCAGGTGCTCTCCCACTTGAATTATGCCCCCAGCCTTTTGCATTTTTTCCCCCTTGGCGGCACTGGGGTTTGAACTCACACTTGCTAGGCAGGAGCTCTTACTGAGCCACTCCATCAGCCCCTGTATTTTGTTTTTGAGGCAGGGTCTTGCTAACTTTTCTTGGGCTGGCCTCAAACTGTTTTTCTTTGTTTCTTTTTTTAGGGTGGCATTGGGGTTTTGAACTCAGGGCTTTGAGTTTGCAAAGCTGGCACTGTACCACTTGAGCCAAACCTCCAGCCTCAAACTCTTGATCTTCTCCCTCTGTCTCCTGAGTAGCTGGGATTAAAGGTGTGAGCCATCACACCCGGCTCAGACCTCATTTCTAATAAGTTATTTCTTTTTTGTTTTTTTTAGCTTGAAAACTATTTTTCTAGTCTGAAAAATCCAAAACTCAGGGTAAGTTTGTGTTTCTGTTTCCTTGACTTAGTAATGCATACGTGCTGAATCACAGAGGCTGCATTGAGGAGTGGTGGTCTGAGTGACCTACTCCACTGGGCTCAGCAGGGCTTTCCTACCTCCCGTGCTGCCCTCCATGCCCCTGTCTGTGCTTGACCTTGTCTCTGGTGGGTTTGGGAGGATGTACTTCCTTTTAGGACTAGTCTGGGGGCAGGTGGGGTGAGTTGAGTTAAAAGCCTTTGTGATGCTGTGGTGAGTTTGCTAAGGTTCCAGGAGTGACCTGCTGTCTCCTTTGTCACCCCATGTGACTTACTTGGGCCACGTGCTGACCATCCAGGCAGTGCCTGTGCCCCTAAGGTCCCCATGGAGGAGAGAGGCAGAAGTGCTGATGGCTCTGGTCTACTTGCTCCCTGAAATCCTTGGAGGCCAGGTGCATTCTGCTCTGTGGCACTTCCAGCTTAATCAACTACCACCAAAGCTGTGCACACACACAGCCTGTGACCTTCCTTTCTCAAGTCTCAGGAGGTCAGCATTTGTAGAGGCTCCACCCTCCTTCATTTCATGGATCGACAGCATGGGGTGGCTTAGCTCCAACCTGGCCCTCCAGGGACCCTGTCCTTCCTGCCATACCCAGGGGGAGTGTGTCTTAAGGAGAGTGGGAAATGTCCCATGCTGACTGGCATGGTCCAGAATTTCTGTCACTGCATGGTTCCCAGTAACTCTGAGTTGAGAAAGCCAACTCTTGTGTGCAGAGTAGCTGCATATGGGGCCCGGGCATCTCACCAGCAACAGAAAGACTGCTGGCCTTTTCCTTGCCTTGAGAGTCTTTTTCTTGGTCTCAATTATATTTGGATTGATTTAATTTCTTCTCATGGTTCACAGATGGGAGGTGCCTGGTTTTCTCTTGGACCTGGGGTGTCTGTGTATGTGCAGCTGTGAATGTCCCCTCAGAGGGAGTCACACACACACAGCTGTGGGCAGCTCCCTGTGCCTCAATTTCCTCATCTGTCCTGTGGGCAGAGCTGGGACTGCCAGCACCTCTCCAGACTCTCATCCAACTCTTCTTCGCAGGAAGAACAGGAGGCAGCTCGGCGCCGGCAGCAGCGAGAGAACAAGAGTAATGCAACCACCCCTACCAAGGTCCCTGAGAGCAAGGTGACTGGCCCTGCTGAGACCCCCATGGTAAGGTGCCGTGCATTGCACATGGTCAGCACCCAAAGGTGCTGAGAGTGGCTGTTCCCATCTTTGGAGTGCCCGTCTCCATCCTTGTTGTCAGCCATGCTTCATTCCTGTCATGCCCTTCCTCTGTCCTTCAGGATTCTGGTGCTGAGGAAGAAAAAGCAGCGGTGACCACCATCAAAAAGCCATCTCCCTCCAAAACCCGGAAGAAGAAGTTGAACAAAAAAGGGAGGAAGATGGCTGGCAGGAAGCGTGGGCGGCCCAAGAAAATGAGCACTGCAAACCCTGAGCGTAAGCCCAAGAAGAACCAAACTGCACTGGATCTCTTGCATGCCCAGACTTCATCCCAGACAGCGTCCCCCTCACCCCAAGGTGAGCAACCATTTCCAGTTCCAGAGGTCCCTGGAGCTCCACCCTGTGGGGTCCCAGCACACTCATCTCTAGAGGCTATAGCATATATGGTGTGAGTCAGTATGTTCCCTGCCCCTGATGAGTGTGATGGGGGTCTCACTGGCATGGGGGCTTCATCATTTCTTTGCCAGGAGTGGCTTATCATAAAAAGCTGAGCAAAGCTCAATGCCAGTGTCTCACACCTGTAATCCTAGGTACTTGGGAGACTGAGTACCTAAGGTGGATCGTGGTTCAAGGTCAGCCCAGTCATATAGTTCTAGAGACCCCCATCTCCACAATAACCAAAGCAAAATGGAATGGAGATGTGGCTCAAGCATTAATGTGCCTGCTTTGTGAGTGCAAAACCCTGAGTTTTGTGAGCCCCAGTCTCACAAAAAGAAAAAGCTGGAGCAGAGACAGTGCTGCTCAAACAGTCATCTGGAGTCAGATGCCAGAGTCTGAAGGAGTGGGGGTCAATTCCGCTGAGATGTGGTGTGCAGTGGGTTCTCTGCACCTCAGGAATCATATTGAGGGGAAAGTGCATAAGACAGCTGTGGCTTGTAGGTGCAAAGTTGGTGGCTGACACTGCTCTTTCTTGCAGATGCATACAGGTCACCTCACAGCCCATGCTACCAGCTACCTCCAAGTGCACAGTGGCACTCCCCCTCCCCACTGCTGGTGGCATCCACCCCACCTGCACTACAGAAGCTGCTAGGTGAGCTATGCTACACCCTGGAGAGGCCTTGCTGGGTGGTGGCCTTGACCTGCAGTGGTCCCAGGATGAGTCCTGACTTCCAGAGGTCACAGCTCCAACCTCACAGCTCGGAGTGTGGGGGCATGGAGCTGCTGGATTGACAGGGGTTTTAGGCCCACTGGAAGGATCATGGGCCCCTGTGAGCAACTGAGGCCAACTTTCATCTCAGGGGACCCTGGGCCATGTCTAAGGACATGTGGCTGTCACGACAGGCCACCAAGGTATTCCAAGTGAATGCTGTGTGCAAACCAAGCTCCCATTTGCTCCTGTCCTCTGCCAAAGGCTATACCTGCGTCAGAGCCATGCTCTTCCATAGCCACCTTCCTTGTCTCTCCAGAGTCCTTCAAGATCCAATACCTGCAGTTCCTGGCCTACACGAAGACCCCACAGTATAAGGCCAACCTGCAGCAGCTATTGGACCAGGAGAAGGTGCATGCAGTTTCAAGCCCCACAGCTTCTGCCATCCTGCTAGGGGAGGGTTTCAGCTTTTGCCCGCCCCCTGTTGGTTCCACCTCTGTGAAGGTGTTCCCCATGGGGTCTGAGCACAGACCTTGGGAGGAGGCCTGGTTGTGCTTATCCTATCACCCCTACATGGGCCCTCCTTACTGGGCCCTGAGCTCACCTGCCACCGGTCCTGCCTACAGGAGAGGAACGCGCAGTTGCTGGGCACAGCACAGCAGCTCTTTGGTCACTGCCAGGCCCAGAAGGAAGAGATCCAGAGACTCTTCCAGCAGAAACTGGATGAGGTAGTACCTGGAGGCCGTGCCACTGCTCTTGAATCCCTGTTCCAGCCAGAGATCTGATCTGGGATTTGGTGGGGTTGGACTAGGTCAAGGGACTGTTTTCCTCCTAAGGCTCTCTTGCTAGTGTCCACCTGATAGAATGGTTTAGAATCTAGGAAGTAGGTTTGGCCTGCTGGCTAACTCAGAGGCTGGGTCCTGGTGCAGGGCTGCAGGGTGCCATCCTCTTTGGCTCTTTCCTCTTTCCAGTGGCCCCTAGCAGGTCCCAGCCCTTCCAGTGTTCTCAGGGAAGTGAGAGGTCCCTTCCCCCACCATCCATTCCCTTACCCCGTTTCCTCCTGTGGCTGTGGGGAGTTGGCCTGGGCACTTACCTACTTTTCCTCTGTATCCCCAGCTTGGGGTAAAGGCGCTGACCTACAATGACCTGATCCAGGCCCAGAAGGAGATCTCTGCTCACAACCAGCAGCTGCGGGAACAGTCGGAGCAGTTGGAAAGGGACAACCGTGAGCTCCGCAGCCAGAGTCTGCAGCTGGTGCGTTAGTGTGCACTGTGCATACATTAGGGCAGCATATTCCAGAGCATTCCAGGATGTGCAGTTTTGGTCCTAAACTGAGTAGAGGAGTGAGTTTCTTTCGGGTGTTGGGCCAGGAGTCCAGTTGACTCTGTTCCCTGGGCAGTTGTGTAGGCCCCAAATATAGAGGCATCCAGAGGGTTCCTGCTGCAGGCCAGGATATTTTCTGAGGATTGCATTTCCATGGCCTCTCATCTATAGTAGGAGGTCCTAGGGCCTCCCCAGATCCTGCCCTTTGTTTGCTCTGGTCTGTCCATTGAGCCCTGTTACCTCATAGGGTGTGCCAGAGTGCATTCTGGAGTGGGCACCTCCAGGCCCTGGACTTGGACCCACTCCTCCACCCACTCCTGGACCCCAAGAAGTTAATCATTAGGATCAGATGACAGTGGCTCACACCTGTAATTCTAGCTACTCAGGAGGCAGAGATCAGGAGGCTCGTGGTTCAAAGCCAGCCCTAGACAAAATAGTTCACGAGACCCTATCTTGGAAAAAAAAAATCCATCACAAAAAGACTGGTGGAGTGGCTCAAGCTGTAAGAGCACCTACGTAGCATGCGTGAAGCTCCGTGTTCAAACCCTAGTGCCTCCCCCCGAAAAAAAAGTAAGGCTAAGTGCCCCCTTTGTGGCCTCCTCACCTGAGGGACCCACCCAGTTAAGAAGCAACAGAGTTCTGTGCTGGTCATACAGCCTTCTTCACCTTGTTCCAAGTAAGGGTAGTGATGCTGCAAGCCACAGCTCTAGGAGGAACACTGGCTTCTGGTACAGGCATTCCAGACACAGGCTATGCAGCTGTGAGGCTGAACTGGCTCACAAGCACCCTACCCAGAGAGCACAGCCTCCCGGTCCTCTGTGTTGTCAAGCATCCAGGGGAAGCTGGCCTGCTGAACTTGTTGCCAAACTCCTGTCCCTGTGTCTTTAGCTCAGAGCCCGGTGCGAGGAGCTGAAGCTGGACTGGGCAACACTGTCCCTGGAGAACCTGCGGAAGGAGAAGCAGGCCCTTAGGAGCCAGATTTCAGAGAAGCAGCGACACTGCCTGGAGCTACAGGTGAAGCTTGGGGTCTGATGGGTGTCCATTTGGGCGCTGTCATAGTCATCACCTATACCCTATCTTCCCACTTTGGAATCCATGAGAATGGGTGGCATGAATGGGGGGGTGGTGTGCCAGGGTTGCAGGCCTTGCCTTCTCTACTTGGTTCCTGTGGTCTGCGGAATGGCACCATGGAAGTCTCTGGGTTGTTCTCACCCCATGGGTAGCCTGGTCACCTCAGGTTTCCTAGGTGCCTTCCAGAAATAAGCTTGTGAAATGGTCAGTGGCAGGATTTGCTAACTCAGGAAGCAGCTGTACCTTCTTTCTTACTGCAGTACTGTGGCTTGAACTCAGGGCCTACACATTGAGCCACTCCACCAGCCCTTTTTTGTGATGGGTTTTTTCAAGATAGGGTCTCATGAACTATTTGCCTGCGGCTGGCTTTGAACTGTGATCCTCCTGATCTCTGCCTCCTGAATAGCTAGGATTATAGGCGTGAGCCACCAGTGCCCGGCTCAGCTTGTACTTTCTGATGGTGAGACCTGCTCACTGGATCAGACAGATAGAAAAAGGAGGGAAAGGCCAGGTGTGATACCGCATGCCTGTAATCCCAGCACTGGGGAAGCTGATGAGTTCAAGGCCAGCTACAAAGCAAGACTCTATCTCAAAAAAAAAAAAAAAAGTATAAAAAAATAGAGAAATTTGGTTGCCCTTCTTATCAAACCAAGCCTGTTAACACAGATTTGGCCTGAAAGCAATCTTCCCACCCAAGTACTAATCAGGCCTGATTAGATGAGATTGTGCCAAAAGTCTTCAAAACGGAATATATTTAGTTTCTGACCCTTCTTATACTAAACTTTTTCTATGTGGTAAATGATACTTGTTCATAGAATCTCCCAGAGAGGGCAACCCACATTGAAAATTTCTCCCATCTCACCACCCAGAAGGAACTGATGCATTGGAGTATGGCAGATCCTTCACCAGTGTCTCCTTGCTTTAGCAGAAGCAAGTGCCTTCCTGTTAGTTCTTGGAGGAATGGGTTTTCCTGTCAAGGAATACACTTCACTAGACCACCCTTGATACTCGTGACATTTCATCTGTATGCCCTGTTTTATCTGACCCATCAGCTGCTTGGGCTTTTTCATCCTGAAGTGATGGGTGTTCTGGCATCTCCTTTGCGCCTTCATCTCAGGGTCCCTTCTGATTCTTTGTGGATGGCTCTGGGCTTACCTGGTGTACCTCAGGATGAGTGTGGCCTCTCTCCCCTGGCTCAGTGGTCTGATCTGCCTCCTGCCCCACAGATCAGCATTGTGGAGCTGGAGAAAAGTCAGCGGCAGCAGGAGCTTCTGCAGCTAAAGTCCTGCGTGCCACCCGATGACACACTATCCATGCACCTGCGTGGAAAGGGTGCCCTGGGCCGTGAGCTGGAGGCCGATGCTGGCAGGCTGCACCTAGAGCTGGACTGCGCTAAGTTCTCTCTGCCTCATTTCAACAGTATGAGCCCAGAGCTCTCCATGAATGGCCATGCTGCTGGCTATGAGCTCTGCAGTGCACTGAGCCGGCCCTCATCAAAGCAGAACACTCCCCAGTACTTGGCCTCCCCCTTGGACCAGGAGGTTGTGCCCTGCACCCCCAACCATAGCAGCCGGCCACGGCTGGAGAAGCTGTCTGGCCTGGCCTTGCCGGACTATACCCGGCTTTCACCTGCTAAGATTGTGCTGAGGAGGCACCTGGGCCAGGACCATGCTGCAGCTGGCAAGGCAGCCACCAGTGAGCCACACCCACGGTAAGCACTGCACCTGCCCTCACCTTCTGCCCCTGGGATACTGAGGGTGTCTTTCCTGCAGGAGCACATTTCTTTGGAAGATACGCGGGGTTTGGTAGGCCTGGACTGCTGGCTTGAGCTCACAGCCCATGTGGACTTCTGAGTGACAAAGCCTTTCTTTGCAGAGCTGAGCATGCCAAGGAGAATAGCCTTCCTTACCAGAGCCCAGGCTTGTCAAACAGCATGAAGCTGAGCCCACAGGACCCACAACCTCCTTCCCCTGGGGCCTTGCCCATAGTAGGAGAAAAGAGCAGTGAGAAGGTGAGGTCTGGCTCTGCCTGTATCCCTAGAGCTACCCAGGGCTTTGGGGGTGCTTAGCAAAGGTGGCCTGAGGGGGGACTTGGGGTTCTGCAGGGGGCATAGTCTATTCTCAAAGATGCATGGAGCTGATTTTGGGGACCTGGGAGGAGTGGGTAAGGACAAGAACAGTTGATACCAGCAGACAGTGTACTGCAAGTTGCAGAGGCAAGCAGGGCTTATCAGAGTCTCCTTGGGGTAGCTTTGTCCTCTTTGAGGGGACTGGGGCACTAATGTGATGCTGAAGTCCAGTTTAGAAGGATATTGCCCAAGGAATCTGCTTGGGGGGTCCTTGCAGGTATGTGTAGGGATGGGAAAGAAGTCATGAAGGGCTCTGACAGGCTGGGGTGCTCACAGGTAACAGGCCATGGTAGTAGGAGGAGGAGCAGTCTGAGATGTTTAGGTTCCAGCTTCACAGGATAGTGTAAGGGCTTAGCGGTCAGCATCCCTTAAGGGCCCTTTTCTGGGGTTGCCAACTGCACAGCTGCGCCATTTCACCCTGGCCTGTGTTTGAGAGCCCTGCTGTGGTCTAGGCCTGCAGTGGACAGTGTGGTGTTTGTCAGCAGGGTGTGAAGGAACGTACCTACAGCAGCCAGGGGGAGACCATCACCAGCCTGCCTATCAGCATCCCGCTCAGCACAGTGCAGCCAAACAAGCTCCCTGTCAGCATCCCCCTGGCCAGCGTGGTGCTCCCCAGCCGTGCTGAGAGGGTGGTGAGCCCGGCCTGGCTACGGGTGGGTGGGGTGCAGTTCTGGGCTTTGGATTTGGGTTTGTTTTTTTTGTTTGTTTGTTTGTTTGTTTTTGGCATGGCCTTTACTGTTCTTTATTATACTGTTGCACCTTGTTAAATTTCAAGTGTGCCACCACCATCCCCAGAACAGGGACCAGGATTAATTATGGCATGTTCTTGGTGAAAGGCAGGATGAGCAGGTGGACAGAGACTAGAAAACTCAGGAGAACTTGTGCCTGAGACTTGTCTGCTGCTGCTGAGCAGCTGTGTGCTGGGATAGCATGTGGCCCAGGGCTACTGCCCTTCACGTGTGGATGGGCAGCCTCTTGTTTGATATGGGTAGGGCGGGGCAGTCAGCTTAGCATGAATTGTTTTGTTTTGTTCTTTTAATGGTTCCTGGGGTTTGAACTCAGAGCCTTGTCCTTGTTATGCAGGCACTTGACCTGTGCCCTAACCCTGGCTTGATTTTTTTTTAAATTTAACATAATTTATATATATATCTCACCCTCTTGCAGTTTGGGGTTTTTGGGCACAGCCATAGTCTCTGTCTTTCTGGTCCTTGTCCAGCCTGCAGTTGGTCCGGTCCCATGTTTCTAGCTGGGCCCCAGGACCCTCCCCATGTCCTTACTTGCTGTGCACCACTAACGTGCTGTGGGTTTCTCTGGGCAGAGGAGCACCCCAAGTCCTGTGCCACAGCCCCGAGACTCATCATCCATGCTTGAGAAGCAGATCGGTGCTAACACCCACAGTGCCGGGGGCAATGCTACAGGGAGCAGGAGCCTTGCCCTGGCACCCACAGGTAACCTGGCATACCCAGTCCTTTAAAGTGGGTAGACAGGGTCTCTGGAGACTATGAGCCACTGCCCTGTGCTGTCAGGCCTTGTCAGCAGTGTTCTTTCTTGTTCTCCACAACCATGGGAAATTAGGCTCTGGGTTGGTTAATACTGACAGGCAACATCTTGTTAGACAACATCTTATAAGATAAAAGATATACAGGGTATATCTTACAATCTTCAGGTTGTAAGATATACCCTGTGCCTGCCAAATACTGACTTTGTCACCCACCCAGCCCGAGGTTAGGGGTTTCTGAGGCCCAGGATGTGGGAACCTCCTCAGCAAATTGCCAGGAGCATCAGCTGCCTGATGTCCAGCGGGCTCTGCTTCTGCTTTAGGGAGCCCAATTGTGGTCCTGTCTGTGGTGATGACAGAGAACAGCACTCTTCTTAAAGGTCCAGAGAAGGCTTTTCCTTGGCCATTGACATAATGATCCTTCCCTGAAAGCGTCCAGCAGCTGTTCATAAGTCCCATGCCCCAGTAAAGCTTTATCAAAAATAGGGGTTAGGCCACACCCATGGCTGTAGTCTGCTCACCCTGCATTGGTACAAGGCATGCCCTGCCAGTTACTCTTAAGAGTAAAAAGTAGTATGCAGATGGCCACTATAGGTCACAAAAGACAAGATTCCTCTGTGGTCTCCTGCCTATCACTGGAAGAGAGGCTCTAGTAGGTAACATGGTGCTGCTGGACTCACCCTCAAAAGCAGAGATGGTACTGGAGTTTGACCTCAAGAGCCTACACCTTGAGCCACTTCACCAGCCCTTTTTTGTGATGGGTATTTTTGAGATAGGGTCTCGCGAACTATTTGCCTGAGTTGGCTTCGTTGGCTTCGAACCACAGTCCTTCTGATCTTTGCCTCCTGAGTAGCTAGAATTACAGGCATGAGCAACCAGAACCCTGCTCAGACTAGTTTCTTGCTGGAGAAGAGATAGTTATGTTGAGAGAGGTTTTCACCCATGGTTTTGGAAGCTTATAGGCAGGGTCTTCATAAAGGGTTTGTGTTGGGGTGTGGTTGTGTACAAGCCTATGGTTTTGTATCTCCAGACTCCAGAGAAGCCCAGGGTTCCTAGAATGGAATTGGCCACACCTGTACCTGGCCCCCAACTTCTTATTGCCATACACTTCTGTCAGCTTGGTTAGCTTGGGGCTTTGTAGGGCTCAGGAGGCACCTTCAAACCCTCTGGTCTCCCAAGCTGTATGGTTCTTATGCACTACTTGCCTGGGTTGGCTTCAAACCATGATCCTCCTGATTTCAGCCTCCTGAATAGCTAGGATTATAGGCATGAGCCCCTGGCGCCCAGCATGGGAATAGGATTCTTAATCCACTGACCCTATCACCACCCTGAGCATCAGACTGCTAGCAGTAACGCACTGCACTCACTCCCCTCACATCTCCTCCTGACCCTAGTGACATGACCCCTCCTTCCTGGGAGATCCTAGAAGTTCACAACCCTAGCATGGACCACAGATGGGGCTTCGTAAGTGCCCAGCAATCCACACTGAGGTCTAAACCCAGAGTATCTTCTGCCAGGAGGGAGACCAGCACATGGGCTTTTCCCACTGAAGTATCTAACCTCCCTTGCTTCTGGAGAGATGCCTAGCCTCCAGAGGAGCCTGTCTCAGCTGAGCCCTTAGGGCACAGGCAGCTCAGACACATGGTGTGCAGAGTGTGTTTCTGGGTTCTGTAGACAGTGTGGGTGGAGGCCACGCTGGTGGGGGGGCCTGGCTTACCTGCCATGGTCTGCTTCCCTGTAGTTGGGACTGAGGGCAGCCATTAGTGCAGGGAGCCTGAGCTGGACTGGGAGAGGGCAAGGCACAGCCTGGGCAGGTTCACAGACTCCTTTTCCTTTTATGGAACCTCTGCCCGCTACCCCTTCCTCCTACATGTGAGACAGCCTCTGAATCTTCTCAGGTCCACTCCACATCCAAGCTTTCCTGAATTTCTTCTTGGTTAGAATAGGGACATCACTATATGTAAACCCCACCCCCACCCCCACCCTACAATGCAGTCAGCTGCTCTGCCTCTCTTGAGAAACCCATGTCCTTCCTGGCAGGCTTCTCCTACGCAGGCTCAGTGGCCATCAGTGGGGCCCTGGCCAGTAGCCCAGCACCACTGGCCTCTGGAGCAGAGTCAGCTGCCTTTGACGAGTCCTCCAGTTCGGGGAGCCTTTTTACCACAATGGGGTCCCGCAGCACGACGCCTCAGCACCCCCCTCTGCTGCCACAGCCCCGAAACTCCGGCCCTGCCTCTCCTGGCCCCCAGCTCTCTGCAAGTCCCCGACTCAGTGGGACCACTCAGGGCTTGCTGCCTGATGCTGGAAAGGGAGACCTGCCTTCTGATTCTGGCTTCTCAGACCCTGAGAGCGAGGCCAAGAGGAGAATTGTGTTCACCATCTCAGCCGGCGCTGGCAACACCAAGCAGTCACCTTCCACCAAGCACAGCCCCCTGATGGCAGGTGCCCGTGGGGACTGTGGGCAGAGCCATGGGCAGGATAGCCGGAAGCGTGGCAGAAGGAAGCGTACATCAACCGGAACTCCCAGCCTAAGCACAAGCGTTTCCCCCAAGCGCAGGGCTCTTCCCACAGTCGCTGGCCTCTTCACACAGTCCTCAGGATCCCCCCTCAACCTCAACTCCATGGTAAGGACAAGACAGCTTTGGACTAGGGAGGAAGCTGGACTCCTGGGTGGAGAGGCTGAGAAGGGGCCATGGTCAAGCTGCAGAGCCTGAGGGTGTGGAGCCTAGCGTGATCAGGTTGTAGCCTGAAAGCTGGGGTCAAGTGGTGCTGGGTACTGGGTGAGGGGATGAGGGCCTGATCTGTGTTGCTGGGCTCTTGCGATGAGCTGTGTAGGGTTGGGGTGTCCTAGGAAGTAACTGTGACCATGCCCTGTTTCCCTGAAACTAGATGGGACAGAGGTCTTGTAAAGCTCATTAGGAACCCTGCTTCAGGACCCATTGGTCCAGAATTTGTGGACCAGTGTGCATCTGTTTTTCTCCAACACCTCAGGTCAGCAACATTAACCAACCCTTGGAGATTACAGCTATCTCGTCCCCTGAGAACTCTCTGAAGAGCTCCCCTGTTCCTTACCATGACCATGACCAGCCCCCCGTGCTCAAGAAGGAGAGGCCCTTGAGCCAGTCCAATGGGGCTCACTACTCCCCGCTGACCTCAGATGAGGAGCCAGGCTCTGAGGATGAGCCCAGCAGCACCCGGTAAGTAGGGATAGGTAGTGGGCTCCCCAGAGGGAGGCCTCAGTGTCAGGCATGGCTGTCTCTGGACAGTGGGACAGAAGGCTCCTACCTGTCCCATCTACCCTAGAGTAGGTGAAGGGTTAGGCATGCTGAGTGGTGTTGACCTTGGGAGGGTTTTTCTGTTGTTAAATGATTTGGTATACGTCTGCACACATTACTGTGGTGGCACAGGAAAATAACTTTTTTTTTTTGGCAGTACTGAGGTTTGTACTTGGGGTCTCATGCTTGCTAGGCAAGTGCTTTACGCCTTGAGCCATGTCCCCAGCCCTCTTTCTCATTTTTTTTGAGACAGGGTCTTGATACATAGCCCAGGCTTTCCTGAAACTTGCGGTCCTGCCTTAGCCTGGATGTTGGGGTTATAGATGTGTTGTCACTATGCCTTGCTCTCCCTGTGGTTTTGATTTCTGTTTTCTCTATGACAAATGGTGTGGACCATCTTTTTATGTACTTGAGCCTTTTGTGTGGAGAATGTCTGTTGAGGTGCTTTGTGTTTTAATTGTCTTCAGTTGTCATTGGTCTTTACACATCTGGACACAGCCCCTTGTCACCTACACAGCCTGAAGGACTCTCCTCCCACTCTGGGTTTTTCACTCTGTGGGCAGTGTCCTTTTTAATGTTGATGAAGTCCTACAAATCTATTTTTTCTCTAGTAGCCTGATTTTGGTTTTGTATCTAAATTATTTCATTGTGTTATTCTTCTACATATACATTGTGTTACACCTTTTGTCCTTGGTCAGGCTCTACTGGTGTTGAGAATGCCTGCCTGAGTGGCTTCAGGATCATTAGGCATTCTCCTGCATCCCTGAAGCACATAGTATTCCTGGGGATGTGATAGACACACTGGCCCACACAGTGAGCCAGAATGTAGTGCTACGTTGCACTGCACCAGGCCCCCAAGGGTTTGGAAGGCGCTTAGGACAGGTTACCACAGGCTGCCCACTCAGGCTCTGCTTGTTCTCCAAGTACTGGGAAGCTTCACCCTGCTTACCTGCTGCTGCCCCAGTGAGGGTCTGTTGTCTCCTCAGTCTGGTCCTACTGACTGTCGGTCCTACTCAGGCTGCATTCAAGGGTCCTCCCATGTGGGGCCTGGGGCAGGTTTGTGTCTGTTGCTCCCTGATTGCCCTAAGCTGTTCAGTATATGTGACCCCACAGCCCTGTTAGGGTCAGTTGAGTTTTTAACATTGATACTGTTTTGTTTCCTTAACAGGATTGAGAGAAAAATTGCAACAATCTCTTTAGAAAGCAAGTCTCCCCCAAAAACCTTGGAAAATGGTGAGTACCAAGTGCTTACTGCCTTGAACCCAGATGTAGTGAAGTAGGCCAGACCTGCCCATGAGCCTCAATTCTCAGAGACACCCCTCTTCCCCATCTCGGTCAGCTGCTTTTATAAGGTCATCTCTTTGTGAGAGGATGCATCTGCCCAGGCTGTAGGACTGTCTATCAGGGCACTCAGAGCAGCTCAGGACCTTGCCCTGTGGACAGTTATTCACAGGGGTGGAGAGTCTCACAGGCTGTGTGTTGACATATCAACATCTGCCTTGTTCCTAGTGGTGCTACTTTTGCTTCCATATTCCCCACAGCCCATGTTCCAGAACTAACTTCATCCTATCCTCGTGCAACTGGGCTGTTCCTATCAGCTTGGGATAGCTCTGCACTTCCCTTTTGGAGAAGACAGGACCCTTCATGGGTAGAGAGACCATTTCTGAGCCTCTGTGATCTCATGCTGCCCTGTTCCTTGTCCTCACCCCTCAGAGGCCTCACATTCCTGCATACCTTGGTGCTATGTTAGTGCCTTGCACATTGGGGCTGTGGTGTGCGCAGCCCCGTCCCTACTGCGAGGAGTACCAGGAGTACTGGGTCTGAGGCCATAAGACCATCCAGTTGGTCCTGGGCAGGTGCAGTGGCCTCACAGCCTCTGCCTTTCCTTTCTGTCAGGTGGCAGCTTGGTGGGAAGGAAGCCAACACCCGCGAGTGAGCCCGTGAACAGCAGCAAGTGGAAATCTACCTTCTCACCCATCTCCGACATTGGCCTGGCCAAGTCCTCAGACAGCCCACTGCAGGCCAGCTCTGCCCTGAGCCAAAACTCCTTATTCTCATTCCGACCAGCCCTGGAGGAGCCCTCAGTGGCTGAGGCCAAACTTACTACCCATCCAAGGAAAAGCTTTTCCAGCTCCCTATTGGGAGCTGATGGACTCAGCCCGGGTGCCAACCCCCCCAATGGCCTGGCCTTCAGCGGGGGCCTGGCTGCTGACCTCAGTTTACATGGCTTCAACGATGGTGCTTCCCTTTCCCATAAGGGTCCTGAGGCAGCCAGCCTGAGTGCTCCACTGAACTTTCCCTCACAGCGGGGCAAGGAGAGTGCCTCAGAGGCCAACCCCTTCCTCAGCAAGCGACAGCTGGAGGGCCTGGGTGGCCTGAAGGGTGAGAGCAGTATGGGCAAGGAACCAGGCGAGCCAGGCCTGCCCCTGTGTGGGCCCGTGGACAAGGCCACCCTTCCTCACAGCAGGGTTGGCAAGGGCCGAGACCGTGAACTTGACTTCAAGAATGGCCACAACCTCTTCATCTCTGCTGCAGCAGTGCCTCATGGCAGCCTTCTCGGTGGCCCTGGCCTTGCCACAGTGGCATCCTCTACAGGCAGTGGAGCCCCTGCTGTCCAGACACACCGCCCCTTCCTGGGCACCTTCACACCTGGGCCACAGTTCACCCTGAGTCCTATGTCCCTGCAGGCCAACCTTGGCTCGGTGGCTGGCTCGTCCGTGCTGCAGTCCTTGTTCAGTTCTGTGCCAGCAGCTGCAGGCCTGGTACATGTCTCATCTGCTGCAACCAGACTGACCAACTCACATGCCATGGGCAGCTTCTCCTCCGGGGTGGCTGGCGGAACCGTTGGAGGTAGGCGGAGGTAGTCTGGGTTCCTGAGGGCAGGGGCTCTGGTTCCCAGGGAGGTGGCAACTCCTCCCAGGAGCTCTCGCTTCACCACAGGCTACTTCACAGGTTCCTCTAGGGCCCTGTAGAGGGCACAAGGCTGAGTCACACAGCCCCCTTTGCCCTCCTTTTGAAACCCACACAGGCAATTGTTGTGTGGCTGGGGGACTCTTTGAGTCAGCCCGTGTTAGGTTCTTGTTGTAATGTGTGCCTCTTGTTTTCAGAAGACCACGGTGCACTTAACTAGGGCAGTCCTTTCTGCTGGGGCATCACCTGTTTGAGGGTGACCACACTAGTGCCCTGTGGCCAGAGTGTGGGAGCTGGCATTGGGCAAGGTTCCCCTGACAGCACCTGATTCTGGGCAGAGTGGAGCCCAGGCCAAGCGGGGTGCGATCCAGGCCTTGGCGGCGCTCCTGGCTGGGTACAGGCGGGCAGGTGGGCCTGAGGGGCAGGGCCTCGGCCTGGCATAGGTAAGTGTCCTACGCTGAGCCCCTGCTGCTTGCCGCTTGTGCCTGTACGCCTGTACATGTAACTCAGAGCCACCACTGTCGTTCTGCTTTTCCCTGTTTTGTGACTGTGCCTCTCTTCACTCGCCTAGCCCGGGCTCACCTGTTGAAGCTGAGTTTTCTCTCCTGTTTGCAGGTGTCTTTAGCCATGCGGTGCCCTCCGCCTCTGCTCATCCATTTGGAGCCAGTGTCGGCAGCGGGGCTGTGTGTAGCAGCGCCACGCTAGGCCTAAGCCCACTGCAGGCGGTGGCCAGCACCTCGGCCTCTTCCTTTCAGGCCGTGGCCTCAGTGGAGACTCGGCCACCCCCTCCACCTCCACCTCCTCTACTTCCTCCTCAGCACCTGGGCCAGCCCCCTGAGGGGCCCCCCATTCTCCACGCCCCCCCTCCACCTAATGTTGCCTTGCCTCCTCCCCCACCCACGCTGCTGGCCTCTAACTCCGAACCTGTGCTCCTACAGAACCTCGCGTCCCTCCCAGCTAACAAAGCTTTCTTACCCTCCTCCTCTGCTGCCTCTCTGCAGCCTAACGCCGCTCTGTCTGTCAAGCTCACCTCCCTTCCACACAAGGTCTCCCGCCCCTCCTTCACGGTGCACCACCAGCCCCTGCCCCGGCTGGCCCTGGCGCAGGCCGCGCCCGCCGTCCCTCAGGCCAGCTCTGCAGGGCCATCTGCTGTATGGGTTTCTCTTGGCATGCCGCCTCCTTATGCCGCGCACCTTTCAGGGGTTAAGCCTCGATAAAGACCTTGCTTAGCTAGCAGTTCATATTCTGTAAGGTAAGGCTAGAGCCAAACGAGGTGGTTCCCTCGAGAAACTGAACCATCCTTCCTTTTGCCCAGGAGACAACCCGGCCAGGCTTGGCAGAGAGCCTGGGAGCCCTAGGCTGCTGTGCCAGGCTGGCCAGAGGGGTGGCGCAGGAAGGCTCAGGCCCTCAGGGTCAATCGGGGTCATGGTGCTTTTTGGCCCCTGTGGATGCAGGCTGTGGACCCCAGCTGGCATGAGAGGACAGCCCCAGGTGGACCAGCTACTGTGGGGACAGTGTGCAGGGCCAGAGTTGGTATAGCCCCTGCTTAGGGAGAAAAGGCCTCTTCTCCCAGGCTCAGGAAGGGTACACAGTTCTACTCTATCTCTTCTGGTTATGTGGCCATAGTCCAGGGAGTTATAAAACATGCTGGGGTTGGGGTGCACTTACCTGGGTCCTTGAACACTTTCATGTCATGGGGTGTTAAGAAAGTTCCCGGCATGCAACAGGCCCTAAGCATGGGAGAGTGAGGAATAGCCAGAAGGGTGAGATTGCCAGGGGGAGCTGAGACTAGGTAGAGATGGCCACACTCTGGCCTGAATGGGGCCGAGCCCAGGCTGTGCATCTGGGGAAGTGAGCTCTGGTTATGGTCTTGAAAGGGCTGCTAACGTGGTGGGGGCACCTGGGGTTGTGGCTGACAGTTGTGTAACACTGTCCTCCAGTGTGGAGCAGCCCATCATGGTGGAGGAAGGGCGGTAGGGGCTCATGGTTGGCCTCCAAGGCCTTCAGGAAGGCCCTGTCCACTTCTTGGGTGAAGAGGCTGCAAAACCTAAGGGCAGCTAGCTTGAACTGTCATTCAGGGAGGCTGACATCCTGGTAGTGAGGACATGCCCAGGGTCTGAGGCCCTGACCTGTCAGTTTGATCTCCTGCAGGTGTGTGTGAGCAGACCGAAGTGTGGCTTTGGGGATGGTGGCAGTCTCTGGGCAGAGTGCTGGCCACCTGAGAGCTGGACAGGCTGTAGTTGTCCTGCCCTTGTGTCCTCAGAGGGTGGTAGTAATGAGATTAAAGGGCTGAGGCTGGCTGCAGTGGCCCCAGGTGTCAGGTACCCTGTTTGCCTGTGGACAGCACCTGCTTGTCCTCTGTCCCTGCCATCTTCCTGCAGGAAGTTGGCATCCTACAGGGCAGCCAGTGCTGCGCAGTGGGTGTGTTCACAGGAGAGCTTTGCCCGACCTGGGTGAGTGCTGGGCCCCTTCTGTGGGCTGCTAATATGATCTTTCCCTCCCTCCTGTGCCCCTGCAGGTAACTAGGACTTCTACCTCAACTGCGCAACCTATGCAAGGACGGTGTGGACCAATGCCTGCTGCGTGGTGTTCGCCAGCCTGCTGGGCTCCCACTCGGAGGGCAGAGACAGGAGAGAACAGGAGCTCCACTGTGAATTGGCGGCATCCTGCAGGAGGTGCTGGGGCTGGTCCAGTTTGTACTGTCGATAGTTTTAGATAAAGTATTTATCGTTTTTTAAAAAGTATAAACAATTCCGACTTATTTTATTCCATCTAAGTCGTCAGAGGCAACCTATTGAGAAGTATAAGTGTCTATATAAAAGAGAATCTATATAAAGACTTGGACTTGTAGGGCTGGCCTACCAGTAGATGCTGACAGCCCATCCTGTCCCGGTGCTATCTCGCCACCAGGCCTGCGCCTGCCTCCACCTCTTGGTGCTGTCCTGGACGTTGACCAACGCCAAAACCAGTTCTCAGAAGCACCTGCCACTTGTTCCAATACCAAATGCGTGCCCGACTCTAGGGGAGTTGTCATAAGGTCCCTCAGAAGACACCAGAGCTGAACCTCAGACCTTCCTCTCCCTGGAGCCCCTATGCCATCCCTGCCCCATCACTGTGAATGCCCCAACTGTTAGTGCTCTGGTTTAGGGCTGTGCCTTTGGCATTTAAGCAGGGCTGGCTGGTACTGGGATGGGAGAGTCCCTTGGTTCTCTGCCAGACTGGAGCCCAGAACTGGTAGGAATGACCTGCGGTGACTACAGCCTTCTGAGTGGTGCTCAACATACGGCTTTGTACTTGACTCCTGGAGGCTGGGTTGGCTTGTGTGACAAGTGCATTTACTTTTTGTATTCCTTTGCTTTTCTGGCTTGTGGCACACTGACTGGGTGACGCAGGGCACGTCCTTGGTGTTTGTGTATAGGAAAAAGTCACGCTGAGTGACAGTATTTTATAGAGATGTGATGAAATTTTATAAATTTCATAGACTTGACTGCATTTATTTTTTCGACTGTATAATGTACAGTGAACTTAAAAAAAAAGAAAGGAGAAAAACTTATTCAAATGCACAAAAATGGCATCAACCCTAGGGCTGGAGACCCTGTAGGAGCAGGACCCAGCCTGTGCCCTCCAGTCAGCTTTGTGCCTGCCACTATGATGTTGCAGGTTCCCATGGCTGCTTAGAGTACTCCTAGCCTGCATTTCTGACCCTGATGCTGGCCCATTTGCAAACTGGCAGTGCTGGGGACAGATATACTGTGTGGGACTGCAGAGGGGCTAGGGCTGGGCTTTGGAGGTTGCAGGACTGTCCTGGGCTTGCAGTGCCAGCCCTGGTTCTGACCTAGATCTGGTTGGGAAGCCAGATCAGGGGCTTCCAGTTTGGGGAGTGGGAGGAGGGCCTGGAAGCAGCAGGCCTGCCCCTCTGCCCCTCCCCACCCCAGCTGGAGTCCTGAAGATGGTGCTGGTGACCCCTCCCCCTCCACGTTGGTGCTCTTGGCAAGGCCAGAAGGTGCTGTGTCCCATTCCTGTGGACTCCGTGGGGGGCAAGGCATCCCTTCTGACCACACAGCTTCCTAGGGCACCACAGGGTGACAGTAGCAAAGTCAGCATATAGCAAGTCCCTGGTCTGGAACAAAACACTGTTTTTAACAAATACTAGTGTGGGCCATGCTGCTGCGTAGACTCCTGATGGGCCATATTTAAACATCCCTCCCTGTTACTGATCTACACATACCTGAGTGCTGGGAGTGTACCTAACACAGCCCAGCACTGGGTGGCACATGTACTTAGCATGGGCACAAGTACCTTCCTGAGCCAGCCTGCATGTAAACTGGCTGTGATGGAAGGGGAGGGCACACACTTGTTCCCTGCACAGATACCCACTGACCAAGTGTGTTGCCTAGCCATTGGATGTTGGGCTGATAATGAAGGCTGTCCAGGAGTCTGGTGCTGGGGCCCATCTCACTGGTTGCAGGTCACTCAGCCTGGGGCAAATGTTCCAAGGACTGCATGGAAGCTAGGAGGCCACTCCATGACTCTTGCTCAGGAATTGATATGGAAACCATAAAGACTAGGATGACCTACCACCACCACCACTACCCAGGAGGCAGCCTGCTGGCCAACAGGAACTGGCTTTCATGTCCTTTATTCTAGTCCACAGATGGAGGCTATTTAAGACTTCCTTGCTCCTGGATCTGTTCATCTGCCCTGCAGAATGCATCACTCTGTTCCCACCTGCCTCTCATCTCCATTTACACATCCAATCCCATGTGGTATTTCTCACTCACAATTTTTATTTGTAACTCAGCAAAACTTTGTTCTGTAGTGAGCTCTGTATTTAACGGATGCTGTTACAGTTCCCTTGGTCTCCCTGGCTCTCAGCTCTACCCTCGTTAGGGTGTCTCTCTGCATTGTTCCCACCTCTAGACACTGTAATAAAAGCAGTTTTTATTTGGACATGGTCTGGACCAACCTTTCTTCCATATGCGTCATCCCTGAAGTGGGGGACCCTTCCAACCCCAGTGCTTAGGGCGCCCCTAGCAGCAGCTCTGAGAGCCAACAGTGGCAGGAGACGCTACCTCAGGAAGGCCCAGTCTCCTTTCAAACACCAACTTATGACTGAACTAGTCCCACCAGATAACATTCCTTTTAATCACTCAAGCCAGCCACAGAGCCCCAGCAGCAGGCCCTGGCCTTGTCCCCAGGGTCATCCAGGATTCCTGCTACCATGGCACCCTTCTATTCTGCCCTGGGTGGAAACCTCCCCAGCCTTTTCCAACTAGGTCTCTCCTCAGTGCAGGAAACCCAGCCCTGCTTCTTAGGTAAACCTGGAAGGAATGCCTGTCCCCTAAGCACATCACCTCTCTGAGAGGAGACTCTGGTTACCTGAGTGCCCTTACTCACTCCACAACCGGCCAATTGGAAAAGAGGTACCTTTATTGAACAGAGCGAGCTGGGCAGCCCAAGAACCAATGCCAGGGCCACCCCATCAGCAGGAGTTCACAGCTGGCTAAGGGAAGACCCCCTCACCATTCACAGCTTCACGTAACTTTGTACATTGGGTGGGTACAGGAGAGCTGTGCTAGTCACATGCTCTCCTGGCCCTCTTTCAATGGGCACACCCAAGCTGGCAGTGGTACATGACACTGAGATACCAGACCCACGAGGTGGGACCCAAGGCACAGAAGAGGGGCGCTCACTGAGTTGTTTCTCCAAAAACTGAAGCCCTTGCCCACTCCTACCCAACCTTGGGCTTTGAACATCTTTAAGCCAAAAACACCTCCCATCACAGACCCAGAAAGCCAGGAAACCTAAGACAGGGGACCCAGCAGAAGGTCAGTCTAGCTCATCCACCTGGGAACTGATGCGCGCTGACTGCCCCTCCCTTGGCAAGTTGCTCAGCTGGAACCTGGCCTCCTCAGAGATGCCGAACTGCTCCAGGGGGTCCTGTGGGGGTGGACATGGTGGTTTTGAGCCAGGCCTGGGAAGGCTGCCAGTCACCTCTAGCCCCCAACACACCTTGCCTGTCATCTTCTGGATCTCGTTCCTGTAGAAGATGAGGCTTTTCCGCATATACTCGTAGCTGGGGAAGAAGGTGGTGCTTGTGTGCTTTGTCAGTTGCCAATTCCCACCCCGCACCCCCAGGCTGTCCCAGAGCCCCACCTGGCCCTTCGCAGAGCTTCCATCCACTCCTGACACTGCTCCTGACTGCAGCACTCAAACTGATACTTCCTTTCTGGGTCCTCTAGGAAACCTGCAGAAGGAGGGAAGGAAGCAGGGAGGGAGTACGCACCCTGGCTGGCCGCAAGCCCCAGTTTCCTCATGCAAGGGCTCCAAACTGCCCCTCCCTCTGGCCCCATTATAGTCTAATCCCGTTCTGCCTATCACAGGTTGAACTGCATTCCCCCAGTTCAAGTCCCCCGCTCCACTCAACCTGTGAAAATAACCCAATTTGGGTCAGTTCACATCCAAAGAGCAGAGAAGGTCCTTCCTGGTGACATTGTGGCTGATAGCTGGGACAGTGGCTGGCAGGGTCTGGCCCGTGGGCTCCCAGAGGACAGAATCCAGGGGTGGCGCAGAGTCCTGGGAAGGAGCCCGGCCTGGAGAGGGTTGGGCAGGTGTGCCGGGTAGGGCGGGCAAGGACCTGACCTTGGTCGCCCGTGGACGATCAAGGGGCTCCCGTTCCACGGAGGGGATGGTCAGTGCGGGAAGCTGGGGTCCACTCACTGATGGAGAAGCCACCGGGCTCTTCCTGGGTCACTCTGCAGCGCTCCAGCAGCAAGGCTCCGAGCGGCTGCGCGAGACATGGCCGTGAGCGCCGGCCGCCCGCCCGCCCGCCAGCCCGCGCGGCCCGCCCCCCCTCCGGGCTTCCCAACGTCCCTACCTCGTCCTCGTCGGTGCGGAAGTAGAAGAGGAAGTTGACCACCAGCTTCACCAGTCTCCGCTTGGCCACTACAGGCAAAGGGCGGGCTCAGCGCGGTGGTGGGACCCCCTCCTGCCCGACGTCCTAGCTACGGGCCCGACGTCCTAGCTACGGCCCCGACGCACTCACCACTGCCCTTTTTAGGACCCCGCATGCCCAGCTCTGCCGCCATCTCGGCCGGCTGCCGGGAGAGAGCCCGCAGCTCCTTCTCGTTGTAGCGCATTGCGCCGCCCGGATCGGGGAATCAGAACTGGGAGCGAGGGCCGCACCCTCCTCCCGGCCGCCGTCCCCGCGGGTGCCGCAGCCCGCTCCACAAAGGTCTCAGAAAGCCCGGAAGCACCGCCGGGGCTACTGCGCTTGCGCGCCTCGAGCAGGCTAGCCCGCCTATCGCCTCGGTGGTGCTTGTGTGCAGGGTCCGCGCGGAAGGGTGCAAGGGTTATTGAGGGCAACTGGCCATTCTACTAATGATGAAATACACTGAACTTGGGCAGAGTTAGATTCACAGCACCCCCACGATGGGCGGCGCCCATTCAGGGAGCCAAGTGAAAGTGGAGCGAACAATAACGTTTCTAGCAGTATCAGCCCACCCTTTCACTACAGTCGGCCTCGCCAGATTTGGAGGAACCAAGAGCGTAGAAAGCGTTGTGCATAAACGCGTTTTGGGATCCCGCCTTCTGAGCGTTCATCCGACCTACTGGACGTGCCAAGCATGCGCACATGGGAAGCCCCACCCCACTTGCCCCTGGAAGTGGTTCCTTAGCTCACTGTACGCATGCGTAAGGTCAAGTCGTGGCGATCGCTGAGGAGGTTTAGGTCGTGTGGCTTCCAGCGCGGGTGAGGGGTATCACGGGCTGAAAGCGTCGCCTGCTGGGGTCCCGGGGCTCGCAGAAAGGACGTGGGTTTGGGAGTGAGGTGCCTGCCGCGCTGGCTCGGGGCGGGCGGCACACCCTTCTTCCGGGGGTTGGCTCTCGCGCCCCAGGAACGCCCTTTCTTGGTAGGCCCGTTAGGGTCCGGGCGGGTGTCGCCACTTTGGGGGCCGGGGCGCTCCGTGTTTGGAAGTTGGTCTGGCTTTGGGGTGCCGGCGAGTTCCTTAACTATAAAACGGAACAGGGCGGCCACAAAACTTTAGCTTGCCCTGTTTTGCCAGTGCTCCCCAGGCAGGCGGTCTTGGATCCCCGGACCGCCTTTCTTGACCACTTGGACAGTACAGAACTGCCAGGAACTGTGAAAATAGGTTATTTTCTTGGTTTGAGGAGATAGTGGTAATTCCACCAAAACCTAATTTATCCCTGGTCCAGACTCCGGTCCCAGAAGCTTATTTTCTCTTTCTAGACCGGGTCTGCTGCCTCACATTCCCAAGTGCTGGGATTACAGGTTTTCACACCACGTCCAACTTTTTTTTGTGGGGATGGGATGCTGGGAATTGAACCTTAGGCAAGCGCCCACTGCTGAGTCATAACCCAGCCCCTAGCTGGATTTTCTGATTTGTTTTTTCTTCAGAGTTTCAACATACCGTATACCTGATGGTTGTATTTTGCATGTGTTTAAATAAATCCCCTGTTTTCTGTTCCACTTTGGTTGGACCAGCTGCCCTCTAGCTAGCCTGGAACTTGGTACCCCTGCTTTCTTGGATGGGCATCTGTTTTTAGGTTAGCCAACTCTTTTGTTGTTGTTGTTGTTCTGGGGCTTGAACTCAGGGCCACTCCACCAGCCCCCCCTCCCCTTTTTTGTGTGTGTGTGTGATGGGTTTTTTCAAGATTGGGTCTCCTAGACTATTTGCCCAGGCTGGATTTTTTTTTTTTTCTTTCGATTCTGAAGTTTGAACTCAGGGCTTTCATCTTGAGCCACTCCACTAGTCCTATTTTTGTGATGTGTTTATTTCAAGATAAGGTCTTACGGAACTATTGCCTGGGCTGGCTTCAAACCGCAATCCTCCTGATCTCTGCCTCTGAGTAGCTGGGATTACAGGCATGAGCCACTGGTGCCTGGCAATCCTCTTGACTCGTATGAGGACTCTGTGGTGACACTGGGCCCCAGATGATTCCCTTTCTCAAGATCCTTGATTACATTTGCAGAGTTTCTTTTGCTTTATAAGGTGACACAGTCACAGGTTTTGGGAAAGAGGACCAGAATGTCTCTAGGGGCTGTCCTTTCCTCAGTCTCCTGAGCCCTGTCTCTGCATTCACCTCTGGGTTTAAGCCAATGGCCTGAGTCCAACATTGAACAGCCCAGTGTGTTGGGTAATCAGAGAAAGCTACCTAGAGGTTGTTTGACTGAGCCTGAAAGTGATGGGAGTGATGGCACAGGTTTGTCTGCAGACACAGAAGAGGGTTTGGGGGACTCAGCAGAGCCTTCCTTATCTACAAATGGCACTGGAATATCTTTTGTGTCAGGCAGTGGGGGTGAAAACATAAAGGTCTCTCTGGCCTCCAGCAAATTTATAGCAAACCAGAGAAATAGACGATGGGGTTATGAGGAATATAGCCAGCCAGAAAGGGGATTCAGAAGAGGGGTGAGCATGAGTGCTTGGTCAGTATTGGAAGGCTTCCTGGAGGTCGTTAGGGTTGTTTGCAAGGACTGGCCTTATCTTCCCTGGTTATGCCGTCTCGCCATTTTTGGTTTCAGCTGCTGCACTCTGAGCCGGAGTGACTTCCTGTTCCCATTCCACCATCACTTGGTGGTGTCCCAGGTATCCCTTAGTATCGTAGTAATCTAGGTAGGTGTTTCTGCAGATGGATGCTAGTCTCCTTGTTTTTGTGTTGGCCTGCAGTGAGCCTTCGAGGTTGGTCAGAGTCTGCACATGTTTGGTGCTGGGCAAAGGGTACCTGCCTGTGTCTGGCCCTCTTGAAGTCCCTGCTGTCTTGAGCCATCAGTTGTCCTTTCTGTCTCTGCAGATTTGTCCCCTATCCACTAAAACCCCAAGTCCTTCACCATGGACTTCCAGCATCGACCAGGAGGCAAAACTGGCAGCGGAGGTGTGGCCTCCTCCTCTGAGAGTAACAGGGACCGGCGGGAGCGCCTGCGACAGCTGGCTCTAGAGACCATTGACATCAATAAGGTGGGTCAGGCTGCTTCCTTACTGTGGACACTCCAGCTGGGGCACCCACGTCCACAGAGGCCTCCTGCCAGGCTACAGCCCCAGGGCTTAGAAGCCTCACAAGCAGCACCATTGAAGGAGCTGTATTTCCCAAAGAAGGGTGTGGCTGGGCAGGTCCAGAGTGCCCTGACCCTTTGGTAGTGATGTTCCATTGTCTAACAGAAGACCTGTTCCCTCCCCAGGACCCATATTTTATGAAAAACCATCTGGGATCATATGAATGCAAACTCTGTCTGACACTTCACAACAACGAGGTGCGTTCTCTTGGCTCTGCTCTGTTGGGCCTTGCCCAGCTTTCTGACCTGCCACCCCTTAACCCTGTTCTGCTGCTTCCTGACTAGGCAAAGGTGGCCTGCCCTCCCTGCTTCCCATCCCACTCCTCTCTTGTCCCCCTCATGACCCTTTTCACTGTTCACTCTGAGCACAGGATGAGAGGTCTGCCTTGGACCACTGCTCAGAGCTGACTGCTTTCTCACCTACCTTTGCTTCAGAACACTGATTGCTGCAGGCTTGGTCTTTGTCCTTCTGTCCCTACCTGTGTCCTTCATCTTGGCCATCAGAGGCCTCCACTGGAGGCTTGCTGGGAGACTTTCCCATTTTTTTCTTTTACTGTTAAGATGCCATTGTCACTGGTGCCATTATCATGGAAACAAGCACTTGTCTAAGAATAGGGGACTCAGTTTGTGCAGTTTGCAAATAGTTCCACAAATCATGACATATGCCTGCCACTGGGCAAGGCATTTCTTTGCATTGCTTCTGGAGTCTTGGGAGGGGAGTGGCTCCAGGTCATTTATGCCCAGGGCCATGAGATCAGTCACTGAGTCTTCGTTGGCAGGAATAGCTTTTGTTTATCCTTTTGCATGTTGAATACTGGAGCCGGGTTCTCTGTGGTGTGGGTGTCGTGGACACTGCAGGGTGCTGAGCAGCATCCCTGGTCTCCACCCCCTCATGCAGGAGCTCTCCAGCAGTAACATCGCCAACATATGGCCCAGTACCTGCTGGGGACAGTTGATGGGTGTGTTCCTCCTGCTCATGGGGAGGCTTCCCATGTGGGACGATGGATCAGGGGTGCTCATTGGCATTGGTAGCATGTGCCACACAGCTGTCCCGAATGCAGCCAGGTACATGTGCACTTGTTGCCCTCAGCAGACCCACTAGTACTCATTTTTCCTCCCTCAGTTAGGTGCCCACTTTGCCCTGACTTGTCCCATATCTGTGGTCTTGTCTATCCCCGAGCCCCCCTGAGGAAGGCCTGTTTGATCTTCTCTCATCTTTGAATAGTGTGTTTTCTTTCTTTATCCAGGGGAGCTACCTTGCACACACTCAGGGGAAGAAGCATCAGACCAATTTGTGAGTATCTTACCATCCCATACACCACGTGGCGCCAGCCAGGCTGTAACTCCAGAGTCCTTCATGTATGGGTGGGTGTAGAGGAGAGGGCTGGACCCTGTCCTTGACTGCTGTGCTTTCTCCCTGATGTCTAATCTGAGAGGGACAGGCCTGAGAATGGTGGGCTGCTCTGATTACTCCTCAGCAAAGAGCAATGGGAATGTGACAAGAAGAGGAAGATGCCCTGACCTCTGTTCCATTCCAGACCTGGGCCCCTCAGAACCGTCCTGTCCTTATCCCCCCACCTGTAGATGAGCTCCAAGGTTATGGGGGCTCTGGCACCTGGGCTTCTGGCCTTGGCCACCCATGTGGATGGGCCACAGCATTATGCCTGTTTTCCCTGAAGGGCCCGGCGAGCTGCCAAGGAGGCCAAGGAGGCCCCTGCCCAGCCAGCACCAGAGAAGGTCAAGGTGGAGGTGAAGAAATTTGTGAAGATTGGCCGTCCAGGCTACAAAGGTGTGTCTGTATGAGAGGGAGGCAGCCTACAGCTGCTGCAGGCATGAATGAGCTCTTTGGACTCTGGGCCACACAGAGCCGCTGTTCTCTGGTCTTCACATGACCGTTTCCTCCCCACACACACTCCCCCCCACAGGGTTGCCACTGCTGCCAGGCACTGTCAGGCAGCCAGTAAGTACTTATCCCTCATGCCTTATGAATTGAACCTGGTTATGGGCTCCTGGTAACCTTGAGAAGGAGGAAAGTGGGGAGGAGGATTTGTCTTAGGAACAGCTTGTCTAGCAGGTCTATTGAAATTGTCAAGGGACCTGAGTCAGAAAGCTGAATAAATGGCTAGGTGGGAACATAGCTACATTTGGAGTTGCAGATGGCAACAGACTATTAGCAAGTGGTTTTAGCAAGAGATTGGTGGGGGGGCGGTTCCTGGGGCAGGTCTACCGGCGGTATAGGGGCCAGCTAGAGTGTCAGAGTCAAGTAGGGAGGCTGAGCCTCCGGCAGCCATTCTGGGCGCAAGCCAGACTCTGATGTAAGTGCTTCTGCTCTTGCTTGTCCCCATATGCAGGGCCTGGGTTCTGGGGCCTAGCCTGACACTGAGGTGCAGACACAGGAAAACTTAAGAGTGCTAGGGTGGGTAGCAAAGGAAAGCCTACACATCTGTGCCCTCCTGAGAAGCAGAGCCCCAAACCCAAGCCTGCTACCCTCTTCCATGGAGGGAGTGTTAGACCCTGGCTCCAGGAAGACATGTCCCCAGAACTGAGCATTGTGTGTTGCAGTAACCAAGCAAAGAGACACGGAGATGGGCCAGCAGAGCCTCCTGTTCCAGGTAAGACAGTGCCCAGGTCTCTTGGATGCTGAAGGCGGGAGGGCAAAGGTGTACCCTGAGGAAGTGCTGCTACTGGTTGTGTCTGCAGATTGACTACCCTGAGATCGCTGAGGGCATCATGCCCCGTCACCGCTTCATGTCTGCCTACGAGCAGAGGATTGAGCCCCCAGACCGGCGCTGGCAATACCTGCTGATGGCTGCCGAACCCTATGAGACCATTGCCTTCAAGGTAGTATGGCCACTAGGGTCCTCCTGTGAGAGGGATCGAGATGCACTGCAGAGGCTGACAGGGAACCCACTATCCACTCTAGGCTTACTAGGCTGTAGGAAGCCATCGCCTCTTGGGTCTGCCTCTGTGACTCCCATAGTGCCCATGAAGAAGTGGGGACCCCAGTGTGGACTGAAGTACTTGAATCAGTGAGGCCTTGGCCTTGTTATGTTGGGCCAGGCCATGATGGCTGGTTGTAGCCTGTGTTCAGTGTCTCCATGGAAACAGTAAATACGAGAAGAGCCAGCCACCAGCCCTGTGATCCCAGCATTCAGGAGACAAGACAGGAGGGTCTTGAGTTCCAGGGCAGCCTGATGTGTATAGCTGGACCTTGCCTAGGGGAAAAAAAAGACAAAAACAAAAATGTGAGCCTTGATTTCCCCAGATCATAGAATTGGTAAGTAAAAGAGCTAGGATTAAACCCCTTGTTTCACCTCCAAACCAAGCCCTATCATCCTACATAAAGGCCTTATCAGTCTGAAACCCAGAGGTCCTAAGGCCTCTTTACTGTCTTCCCTCCTACCAGGTACCAAGCAGGGAGATTGACAAGGCTGAAGGCAAGTTCTGGACCCACTGGAACAAGGAGACCAAACAGGTGAGCCCTGCAGGGCCTGGGCATTCTGGGGCTTCCCCAGGGGTCTAGGGCTCCACACTGAGGCCATGGGGCTAAGCCTTTCTGTGTCTACTCTAGTTTTTCCTCCAGTTCCATTTCAAGATGGAGAAGCCTCCAGCACCACCTAGCCTCCCAGCTGGACCTCCAGGGGTGAAGCGGCCCCCTCCCCCACTGATGAATGGCTTGCCTCCTCGTCCACCACTGCCTGAGGCTTTGCCTCCACCTCCCCCAGGAGGCCTGCCCTTGCCTCCCATGCCCCCCACTGGGCCTGCACCCTCAGGACCCCCTGGACCTCCCCAGCTGCCCCCACCAGCTCCCGGGGTCCACCCCCCTGCCCCGGTGGTCCACCCTCCTACACCTGTGGTCCATCCCCCCACTCCAGGGGTCCATCCTTCAGCCCCTGGGGTCCACCCCCCAGCCCCAGTGGTCCACCCCCCCACATCTGGGGTCCATCCCCCTGCTCCAGGGGTCCACCCTCCAGCCCCAGGGGTCCATCCACCCCCATCGGCTGGGGTTCACCCCCAGGCTCCTGTGGTGCACCCACCTGCTCCTGCAGTTCACGCCCAGGCTCCTGGAGTGCACCCACCAGCCCCTGGAATACACCCACAGGCACCAGGTGTGCACCCCCAGCCTCCTGGAGTTCATCCTGCTGCTCCTGGGGTACACCCTCAGCCTCCTGGAGTTCACCCCTCAAATCCTGGGGTACATCCCCCAACTCCTATGCCCCCCATGCTAAGGCCCCCCCTCCCCTCCGAAGGCCCTGGGAACATTCCACCCCCTCCCCCAACCAACTGAAAAGGTGCTTCCCCATAAGTCTGGTTTTCTGTATTTTCCCACAGAGGTGATACAGCTTTTGTATTTTGTACTGTCCCCAGAGCCCAGTAAACAGCCTCTCTTCCCCCGTGTCTGCAGTGGACTGATGTGGAGCTATGGGGCAGACAAGGCTCACTACATATGAGTAATTCTGGGTGGCACATAGAGCAGCTATTCTCTGCTGCCCTGGGAGATGCCTAATGGAGACCCCACCAGCTGACAGGAGTGGAAGTACCTGCTGTCTTTTTAGGTGCATATGCATAGGTCTCAAAGGTGGATTAGTGAGTGGTACACTTGGGGAGCTCTACCCTTCTGTCAGGCCTGCCCAGCCTGCCATCTGAACATGAAAGCATCGTATCGCCTTGGGATTTGGGGCTGGGTCCTTTAGGTAGGGCTCTGTGCCCCTACCAGACACCCAGTTTATGATTGTAGGAGGGATTTCACTGCTCAAGGACAGTTCTGACCAGTGTGGTTACAGGCCCAGCCCTATCTGGTGAGAGGTGGCCCTCCTAGAACAGAAAGCCCTTTGAGAAGGCTGCCTCCCACCTGTCCAGGATTCCAGAGGGGCACTGTCCCCAAGGTCACCTCCCCACTAGCATTCTGTCTTCAGCCATATAAGCTACACACAATCCAATCCCTCACAGCACCACCATGCAGGGTCTTCTTACTCAGCTGGCCCTGCTGTTCTTGGCCTTGGGAGCTGTGTTGGGGACCAAGACCCCTGAAGAGTCTGCTGCTGGCCCTGGGGACCTTATCTTCCATGAGGACTGGGCCTGGCCACCTAGGAGACCCCACAACCCCCTATGCCTGGTGATGCTGAATAGGGCCAGCAACAAGAGCAGAGTCCCTGTGCAGGTGGTGGTATCCCTGACCAGTTATGAGCATGCCTTCCTGGAGGCTGTGTGGGAGGCCCACTGGGGACCCTCGGACCTGGCCACTTTTGGAGTCTGCAGTCCCAGTGACTCACAAGCCACCCTGTCTGCCCTACGGCGGCTGGGGGCCTGGCTGGGGGAGCCTGGGGGTCAGCGGCTTATGATCTTGCACCTGGCGGAAGGTATGTGAGGGACTCAGGGCCTCCATTCATCATCATTCACATTAAAGGGGGGCTGGAGTACTCTTGAATTGGGGTACTTTGGAGACCCTGCCCCAGGTCCAATGCTCTTCCCAAAGCTGGGGTGCTTCTGTGCCCTGATACTGGGCTGTGGGTCCTGCCAGGGAGGAAACATGTTATCTCTGCTGTGTCTGGGAGCTGGAAGTCTCTGGTACCACTCCACCAGAAGCTGTCAAGGACCAGGCTGGGAAGGCCCATAGGCTAGCAGGGAAGGGTCCTGGGTCCCCAGAGCCAGGCACCGTGGGAGTGAATGAAGGGCACCCTCCACCCACAACCTTAAGTTGTCACCTCTGCCCACCCCAGTGGTCATTCCCTGGCCACAAGAAGGTGGCAAAGAGGGGCTGCTGACCCTACAGGCAAGGTCCCCAGTTCATAGGTTCAGGGCCTCAGGGTCAGACCTCTTTGCCCCCACTGATTACCCAGTCTCCAGCTGGGGAGGGGCTCTCCCTCAGGACAGGCCTGAGGAGGCACCACCCCTGACTCAGGTGTCCCTGCTGTCCTGATTGCAGTGACATGGGAACCCACATTCTCACTGAGATTCCAGGAGCCCCCACGGGGAGGAGCCAGTCCTGAGGATCAGGCACTACTGGTGCTGTACCCTGAGCCTGGACCCGAGGTCACTGTCACTGGGACTGGGCTGCAGGGTGCCCAGGTACCTAGGAGCATGAGGCAGTCCCTGAGTCACCAAGGAGCCCTTCTGCAGGGAATGGGGCTGGGCTTTTCTAAAGGTCTGCACCTAGTAGAAAGGCTCAAGGGCCAAGTGCAGAACTTTGAAGGGGTGAGAAGGGAGGAAGTGTTCCTATAGCTGGGCTGGGCATGGCTGTCCTCACCCAGCTGGGCTGAGCCCCCCAAGTCCACAGACTGTCTGCCCCACCCGGGACACCCGCTATCTGACGCTGACCGTGGAACACCCGGCGGGGGCCTGGCGCGGCCCTGGGCTTGCCCTGACCCTGCGGCCCCGAGGAGGCGGTAAGGCTGCACAGGGAGGGAGAGGGACCGGATGGCAGGCGGGTGCCCTCTCCCTCCAGCTTCTGAGCCAGCCTAGCGCCCGCCTGCTACAGATGCCCCACTGAGCACTGCTCAGCTGCAGGCCCTGCTGTTCGGCTCTGACGCCCGCTGCTTCACACGGATGACCCCCGCCCTGTTCCTGCTATCCGGGCACGCGCCACTGTCCGCGCACAGCCAGCTGGACATCATGCCCTTCCCACTGCCCAGGTGCGCATAGGCCCCAGAGCAGGGGCGTTGGGAGATGGGAGCGGCGCAGCCTCGCGTTCTCATGACTTCCCATGTTTTCACGAATCCCCCGACTGCTGGTCCAGGCTGTCCATGGAGCCGAAGGAGCTGCTGACCAGCAGCGACCCTTTCCTGGAGACGCTCACGCTCCTGGCGCGTGCGCTGCGGGACACCGCGGCCCACGCTTCGCCACCTCGCCTGGTTCTGGATTCGGATGCGCTGGCCAGCTTCCCGCAGCAGGGCTTGGTCAACCTATCCGACCCAACGGCGCTGGAGCGCCTGCTTGACCAGGAGGAACCGCTGCTGCTGTTGCTTCCGCCCGCTGCGGCCACCGCCAGGGACTCAGAGCAGCTGCAGAGCAACGCGTCAGGGCGTTGGTCCTCAAGCCTGGCGCGCCGGGTGGCCATCGAGCTGCAGGCAGCAGCCGCCGAGCTGCGCATTCTCCCAGGGTTGCCATCAGCTGTACCCCCACTGCTGGCGCGCCTACTAGCGCTGTGCCCGGGTGACCCTGGAGACTCTGAAAGCATTGGCAGCCCCAGGGACCCACTGCGCGCGCTGCTACTGTTAAAGGCGTTGCAAGCCCTGCGCACAGAGTGGCGTGGGCAGTATCAGCGGGGTTCCGGGCGGGCACAGCGAAGCGCGCGAGCCACTGCCGCTGACCGGCCGTGCGCACTACGAGAGCTGAGCGTGGACCTCCGCGCGGAGCGCTCCGTTCTCATCCCTGAGACCTACCAGGCTAACAACTGCCAGGGCACGTGTGACTGGCCGCAGTCCGATCGCAACCCGCATTATGGCAACCACGTGGTGCTGTTGCTGAAGATGCAGGCCCGCGGGGCTGCCTTGGCGCGCCCACCCTGCTGCGTGCCCACAGCCTATGCCGGCAAGCTCCTCATCAGCCTGTCGGAGGAGCGAATCAGTGCGCACCACGTGCCCAACATGGTGGCCACCGAATGTGGCTGCCGGTGATCTTTGCACCGCATGAACTCCTGCCCCGAGGGTCCCTGCACGCGTCAGCCAGAGCCCCTTCCCATATTTATTCAGACCCCAGGCAATGCCCCAATAAAAATGCCAGCAAGTACCCAGCTGGGGTGTCCGTGAGTCCTGTGCAGGGACCTCTTTCTGCTTTCTCTTTTCTTGGGCGCAGAGCTTAGTCACTCCCCTGGGCGTTCACTGCCTGTTTTCCCGCGGAAAGCTTTCTATCCCCATCATTCATGCCTGGGGTTCAGGCATAAAGGAACAGGAGAAGCGGTGACCCGCAGAACTCGATTTATTTTGCTGGAACCCTGGGGATTTAGAGATAATTAAGGACTCCTGCGCCGGACCCAGTGCCGGCTCAGTCTCGTCCCTTGCCCTCGCGGTGCTTTTGTCGACCTGGAGTCTGGTCCTCGTAGTCGCGGCGCCTTGAGGAGGCCCAGGCCTGTCTCTTGAAGTGCTCAGGGTCCCTGGAGTCCCGCGCCCTGGGTCGATGGCCCTCTTCGCGTGCCTCCCAGCGCCTAGTCAGGGCTTCCCGGGCCTCCCTGGAGGCTCTCGACCTTTCTTCCTTCCTCGATCTCTCTTTTCGAGGCCTGTCCTCCATTCGGGGTTTCTCCCTCCGTGGCTTCTTCTCCTTCCACGGCCTCTGCTGGGGTCCTCCCTTTTCAATCGGCGCTTGTTCCTCTCTAGCGGTCTTTCCCCTGGTTTCCCCAGGCTCCTCCTGGATGTTCTTTACAGACTCCCTGCACTTGGGAACCTCTGGTCTGACTTCTACCTCTGCCTGGAAAGTGGGTGACCCCGCCTGGCGTGCAGGTGGCTCCGATGGGGGTGCCCAGGCCACAGGCTTGTTAGGCTGCAACATGATAGCATGGGGTCCTGGGATCAGGACCCACCTCCCTGGTGGCTGGGCTTCCTTCCCCCGGATGAGCTCACAGTCACAGGGAGGAGAAACTTACCAGGATCAACACTGGTTTCTTAGGCTGCGAGCTCGGAGGGACCCGTGGCTTAGGGGTAGGTGCTGCATGGGCCACCTCCCCAGACGCAGCGTCTGGGGGCACAAGGTGGGAAAATGAGTCAGCCTGGGTCAAAAGATGGACCTGTCCGCCCCCTCACCTCTAGAGCTTCCCTCCCTAGACAGATAGAGAGGGGCCCACAGAACTGCACAGGCCCCCTCCCTGCTGCCGGGTGCCCCTTTCTTCCGGGCCTCCCTTTTTCCTGCTGCAAAAAGAGTGGTCTTTCCTCTCTCCCTTCCCCCCTCTGGCTGCAGGGGTGCTCCTGGCAAAAGCCAGGTCTCAGGCTTGCCCCATAGGATCCTTTCCTAATGAGGGTGCACATACTACGGCGGTGGGGAGGAGCGGGGACTGGGTGCAGTTAAGAGGTCCATGGGGGAACAAAGAGAGCACACAAGGTTCGTGCTAGAAGGGGAAGTGGTCCCGGAAGGGTCCACAGTTTGGGGAGACACGGGAAGCCCGACCTAGAGCGGAAAAACCTGGGCCTAACCATGGGATCCTACAAGGCCCAAGCAGAAGACAATAGCCTATTCGCAGAAGGAGGTTAAGGGGCCCTCCTCCCAAGGTTTATACTTAAGAGGGAATAACAAAAGGTTCAAAGTGGATTGGTGGAATGGCTCAAGCATCTGCTTAGTAAGCATGAGGCCCTGAGTTCAAACTCCCAGTGCCACCAAAAAAACTAAAAAAGCCATGGGTGGGAATGCAAGACCCACCCTCATGTGTATATGGCCCCTTCCTGAAGAAGTGAGCCCACAGGTCTACCCCAACCCTGTCCCACCTCTGGGGAGGCCAGGCTTACCTCTGCACAGCTGGAAAGTTGAGCCCAGCAATGCCACCAAGGAAGCCAGCACCAGGCACTTGTTGAGCGACAAGTCTCCCCAGGGCAGCTCCTCACTCAGGGCCAGGGTGGGGGGTGGCAGTAGTGGTTGCAAGGGTGGGGCCGCCTGTGCTTTCTTCCGTGAGGGGGCGCTCTGGGGGGCTGCAGGGCAAGTGTAGGCTGTGCACTTGATCCCACAAGGGCAGCCCACTTCCCAAGTGCAGGGAGCAAGGGGCAACTTGCACCTGGCACCTAGCTTCCCGCATCTGGCTGCTCTTGGCAGGGTGCAGTTCTTGCAGGATGCCTAGTGTTCATAGCAACTTCACTGGTGTTAATCATGAATTAGCCAAGGCTTCTGAACCAAGTAGTCACCCTTGTAACACCTGGAGCTACTCAGCCAGGAGACCTCATCCATCCCATCCCTCAGGGCCAAATTCAAAGGCCTGCCCCTGCTTATCCCCCATGACAATCCATACCCAACCCCAACTCACCCATGCCCACTGCAGATCCACTTGTTCCAACTTTCAGTTTCTCTTTCCCTGGTCCTGGGCCACCCCTGGCTGCAGACTCCTTTTCCATTTTGGGGGCCTGGCATCCACACTGCTGGCTGCCACCAGCAACTGAGGGTCCTGTGGGGAAACATTCCAAGGGGTGCTTCCTTCTGGCTTTCTTCTGAGAGAGTCTAGCCCTTCCTTGGGCTGTAGAAACCCACCCTCCTTGGCCAGTAACTCCCAGGGCTTCAGCTACTCACGTGGGGCCAGCTGCTACAGTCTGACAACCTGGATGTCACTGTTCGTGAGAGCAGAGAGAATGAAGGTTGCAGGATGTCCAAGCCACTCCCATCCCACCCTTATTCCAGCTCTGCTGGGTAAGGGGCAGCAATGACTCCAATTTTACAGATGAGAAAGAAGATGGGGCTCAGAGAAGCTTTGCCTAAAGACACACAGCACTTCAATGGCAGACTAAAACTCAAACCTAGGTCTGAGTACCCAGCATGCATGTTCTCCTGGGGCTCCTGGTAGACTCCTGAGGCAGAGATGGGGGCAGGGAGGTGTTGGAGGCCCAACATGCAGGGGAGGCAGGAGCATAGTTTAAGCCAATCCAGTACTGAGCCACCTAGTTCACAGTACCTTGAGCTTTGTTCTCCTGCAGCCAGCCTGGGCAAGACTCCAACAGTGCAGAAAGGTCCTTGCTGGCCAGGCAGCTGTCCAGTCCTCCCTCCAGCTCCTCCAAGACTGTGGTTGTCATGGAGACCAGAGCAGTAGTGCACCTGGCATAAGGCTGGGAGAGGATGCAGAAAAGGGGTCTTGCTCTGCTGTACCTATTAGTGGTCCTGTGGGCAGGAACTAAGCAGCCCTTCTCCCCTGCTTCCCAGCCTTCTCTGTTCCCTTTTTCTATTGTAGCCTTCACTTGGCAAAGTCATACTCTTGCATGACCTCAGGGCCTTCTGGCAGGCATCCTCAAGTCTCCCCATAGCCCAGCCTCTCTGGGCCCCCAGTGCCTGAGTGCAGCAGAGAAAGGTGCTGGGGCTCAGAGAGGCCTGGAATCCACCCAAGGTCATACAGTTTACACCAGAACCCTGGGCCCCAGGTCATCTCATGTTCTCTGAGACCAGGGCTATTTTTATCTGGTGTCTAAGGCCAGCAGTACAGGACAGCCAGTGGCCCAGCCCCTCCCAATCCTTTGCTTCCATGAGTTCTCCCTTCTGACCCTCCTTATCCATCATTCCTGGTATTGAAACCCCCTACCTCCCTGCTGACCCCATGAAACAAGGGCTGAAGCCCCAGCAGCTACCACCAGCCTGGTCCTAACTGTGGTAGTTGAGGATAGAGGAGGAGAGTCCTGGGGGGACTTCCAATTCCAGCACTGGGTCCCCTGTTTCCTTTTACTACCCATATTCCCACATGGTAGATGGGGAAACTGAGGCTGGAGATATAGTTATTGGCTAGAGGTCATGCCAAGCTTGAAGACAGATCCCAAACCTAGATTATTTGGATCGCCATGGCCTGCTGCTGCCAGTATTAGTGTGTCCCCATCCTAGGACAGAAAGGCCACCCTTCCCTGGGGCTCAGAGACCATGGAAAATACAGTGGGGGAGGGGCCCAACATGCAGGGTAGGCAGGAATCCAGGCCCCTAGGTGCAGAGAGGTGACAGCCATAAAAGTTTGGGACTCCTGTAGACCTCTGAGATATCCTCCCCAGACCCTTGGCACCCAACCTCTGTCCAGGTCTTCCCCGGCTCCTCTTACCCCTCAGCCTCCATGCTGGGCCTGGTGAACAGGATGGAGTACGAAAGGATGGCCCAAGACAGACAGCAACAGGTGGCTGGGGCAGCTGGGGGACCAATCAGTGAGGGCCAGAGGAGCCAAAGGGAGGGGCCAGCATGAAGTCACTGCCCGGGGTGTCCCCCACAGCCATCATTAGACAATGGCATGGAATTGGCTGAGGGATTCCCCACTCCTCTGTCAGCAGAGTAGCCTGCAGACTAGCCACCTTAAGCAACAGCCAAAGGGACACTGTGTCCTGTCTCAGAGCCTTGGGAGGCTGTGTTCCAGCAGTCACCTACCCTTCTCTCTGTGATTTGATCAGCAAACATTTATGAAGTACCTACTGTGTGTATGTGAGGAAGGAGGAGACCAGGGCCAGCCTGGAGGGCTTCCCAGAGGAAGACATGTCTTGGTCTGTGCTTTGCACATTCTGAAGGAAAGCTGTTATGTGGCCTCAGGCTCAGCTTACTAGGTGGGACTCAGATTCTATATCTGGAAAGTGGGATCTCTTCTCCCAGGAGTATGTTGAGGTTGAAATAAGTCTATTCTTGTTCATTAACCACTCACTAACTGAATCAAAGGCTGCTTTTATACAATATTTCACAATTATTCCACCTGGTCACTTAGCTGATCATCAAGTACACCGCTGCCCCTCAGCCATATGGGAAATTATTTTGTGTTTTTTTTCTGTTTCTCGTTTGTTTGGTTTGGTTTTTGGTGGGAGGAGGTTTGAACTCAGGGCTTCACATTGGCAAAGTAGGCATTCTAATGCTTGAGCCACACCTCTAGTCCATTTTGCTCTGGTTATTTTGGAGATGGGGGTCTCATGAACTATTTGCTGGGTTTGCCCTCAAACTGCAATCCTCCCAATCTCAGCCTCCCAAGTAGCTAAGATTATAGGTGTGAGCTACCTGAACTATGGCAGGAAGGCAGGGAGGGGGAAGAGAGATTAGTGAGTGCTACAGTAAAACAAAGGAAAACTGGAGTTGGGGAATGTTACCTGGAGACCAGAGGAGGGTCACCTCGCCCCAGAGGTTAAAACAGCCAAT